TTTTTTTTTTTTTTTTTTTTTTTTTTAATGGGATTAATCTCTTGCAGTTTCCACATTTGTTTGAAAAGTGGTGAGATTTTCTCTTTGCAGGTTCGAATTGCTCGTATTTTTAATACATACGGACCCCGTATGTGTTTAGATGATGGGCGTGTTGTTAGCAACTTTGTTGCACAGGTTAAACATCTCCCTTGAATGTTCCCATCCCCCTATTTAAGATTTGTTCAGGAATTGATCGTGATCAATGCTTAAAATATGTTCTCTAATGCTCTTAGTAATTGTTCAGGCCATCCGCAAACAGCCATTGACTGTTTATGGTGATGGAAAGCAAACACGGAGCTTTCAATATGTCTCTGACTTGGTATGGCATATTGACTTTTGTTTGTAGAAATATAATCAGTTAAACATCTTCTGGTTTTTTTCTGTCTTTCCATTTAATTTCCATGAAGGTTAGATGCTTGAATTGTTATTTCTGTGGCTAGTATATGTGTAAGGGCATCGGTTGGGAACTTGACTTGAAAGATCTAAACTGGGCACCACTACTAAAATGATCTTGTGGTTTCAAGAACATATATTGAGGACCTTGGAAATGATCTCCAATGACAGGTTAACGGTCTGGTCGCGCTAATGGAAGGTGAACATGTAGGGCCTTTCAACCTGGGTAATCCAGGAGAATTTACCATGCTTGAGCTGGCTGAGGTTTGTTTTTCCGATCGACTCGGTAATCTAATTATTTCTGGATTTTCAGATCATTTCATGTTTGTAAAAAGGAATTTTGAGTGATGTGAACCTTACCTTGCTTGCAAGTAGTGTATTGAGTATTTGCATGTGCACTTCTCCATGAGAGAGAGAGAGAAGGAGAGAGAGATTCTGTAGCTATAGTTACAACATATTTTTTTGTCCTGGTTGTATAGGTTGTCAAAGAAACTATAGATCCAAGTGCGACAATAGAGTTTAGAGCAAATACTGCTGATGATCCTCACAAGAGAAAACCTGACATTAGCAAAGCAAAGTCATTGCTCAACTGGGAGCCCAAGGTCGCCCTGAGAGAAGGACTGCCTCTCATGGTGAGCGACTTCCAGAAGCGCATTTTGATTGAAGATGAAGGGAAAGGTTTCTAATGAAGAAAATTGCTAGGAATTCGACATGTATAGTGCGAAGCGACTGTATCTTTTTGGTTGATTCATTCATAGTTCAAATATCCTCTAGAAACTGAGCATCATTTCACTATAGGAACATAAAGGTTTTTTGCTCTTCATTACAAGCTTGAGTGCCACATCCCTATTTATTTGTGTTCTTTTCAATGCATTTTATCCAATAGATCTATGCTGTTGGTGAAAAGGTCTTCTCGGCCAGATGCTTTGTTTTCTTAACCGAGCACGCTTCGGCAACCTGATGTATGGTTTTTAGAAGCAGCCCTATCTGTTTGTATGGGCATTGAATGTCCTCTTATATCTCTGGGCCTGTCACTCTCACCTGCCGCATTACACTTCATAGATGTATCGCTGCAAATAGGCATCACATTCGTATATTGTATTTGTCAACATGAATGATACGCTGGTGATGTATTGTTTTCTAGTACTTCCACAAATGTTTTCTCAAACGTTTGCTATGCGAGTTTTTGCGAGATTCTACGTCGGTTAGAGAGTGAAACGAAACATTCCTTATAAGGGTGTGAAAATTTCTCTCTAGTAGACGCATTTTACAATTGTGAGGCTGATAACGATATATGACAGGCCAAAGAGGACAATTTCTACAAGCGGTGGGCTTGGGCTGTTACAAATAGTATCAGAGTCAAATATCAGGCGGTGTGCTAGCGAGCACATTGGTCCCCAAGGTGGGTGAATTGTGAGACCTCACTCGGTTGGAGAGGGAAACAAAATATTTGGGTGTAAAAATCAATCCTTAATAGACACATTTTAAAAACTTACGGCGAAAGAAAATTTATTTTTGGGACAAATATTTGGACCAATAGCGAAATGATATCTTATGTGCCTTACTTTTTTCCTTTCAAAGGGTATGGGTAATTGAACACGCAGCTTTTGATGATTGGACGCCTTGGGATCTGATACCCAAAGCATCCTAAAACCTTTGTTTTCATGCACAAGAATCCAATTCTATCCAAAGAGAGAGGACAGATTCCATTCCCCCCACACCACAAAAAAAAAGTGTATGAAAATGAAACAAATATTTTAAAGGGTGTCAAATTTGAGATAACATCATTCTTGATTCTACCATCTCTATATAAGAAAGTTTAGGCTACTTTTGTGGATTTGGCTTTCTCTCCATTATGCTATGTTAAAATTCAAACGAGCATGAAACACTAAGGTAGATAATTGAGACGTTTGTAAAGCTTACTTTCCTTTTTATGTATCATTACATCCTGAAAGTCAATCCACAATAGAATGTATTAATATGTCGGGTTTTAAGTAAAAACTCACATAATCGACCAATTTGATTATAGTTTAAGTAGTTAAGACATATATTTTAGACCAAGAGGCTAGATATTAGATGCCGTTAAACTAAACTTATTAATCGTTCGAGATTTTAACACAAAAAGGGAATGGTAAGAGAACAAAGTGGACCAAGAATAGGTTGGCATTGAATGAAATGGTGAAGAAACACATTAAATTGATAGATATGGGTTGCCATTATGTGAAAAAAAAAAAGGAATAAAATGAAAAACAAATGAAAGCCAATACTATCAGCATCTGATTCCCATGAGCCACAGAAAGGGAACTCCAGGGCTTCATATTAGAAACAAAGAAGCAAGAAAGTAGCTTTGAGGTTAATACTTTCCATCACAAGGAAAATAAAAAATTATTCCCTCTCTTTCCCACCTTCCTTTTTAGCTGTTTGGGTGCTTCGAGTTTGATTGATAACCTTCTAATTAGTACAATCAAAGTAATACCCGAAAATGGACTCTTTGAAATCATTGGAACATCGTAGGATGGTAGCAACATTAGCAATTGTACAGTGAGATCTCACATCGAGTGAAGATAAGACCGAAATATTATTAATAAAAATGTGGAAACTTCTGCTTAGAAGACATGTTTTAGGAAGCTCAAAAGGAAAAACCTAAAGATACAATATCTGCTAGTAGTAAGCTTAAGACGTCACAGTTGCCGTCACGATCGATGATTGAATTGTTTGTATGATGTTGAACGGAGGTGAATCAGAGTATGTTGTTTGAAGAGTAATTGCAAGGAGACAAGTTATTGTTGTCATATAGTCTGATACTTGTTTGGTTGCTTTCACCCCCACAGAGCATTCAACTCATGGATTGAATTTTCTGTAAATTTCATCAGAAGGTTTCATTGAAGACATGATTTTGTTGGACATATCAAATAAATTCTGCAGGGTCAGGCTGATAAAAGAAAACACTATAGCTCCCACTTATAATTTTACCTGCGTTTCTTTTCAACTGGAAGGCACTGACTCCATAATTTCTTTGTCTCAGTATCTACTTATTACCTTCTCACAACGAAACAATTATCAATCTCTCTCTAAACATTGGTTGGGAAGGAAAACGAAACATTTTTTTATAAACGTGTGGAAACCTCTTCCTAGTAAACGTGTTTTAAAATCTTGAGGAGAAACCCGAAAGGGAATACCCAAAAAAAACAATATCTACTAGCGGTTGACTTGAGCTATTACAAATGGTATCAGAACTAGAGAGGAGGCTAAATCCCAAAAGGGTTGGACATGAGATGATGTACCGGCAAAGATGCTAGACCTTGAAGGGGTGTAGATTGGAGAGTCCCACGTCAATTGGAGAGAGAACGAGTGCCAGTAAAAACATTGGGCCTCGAAGAGAGGAAGATTTTAAGATTCCACATTGATTGAGGAAAAGAACGAAACATTCTTTATAAGAGTGTAGAAACTTATCTCTAATAGACGCATTTTTAAAACTTTGAAGGAAAGTCCGAAAGTAAAAGTTCAAAAAAGACAAAATTTACTAGGATGAATTCTCTCTATTCCTCTCTCTCTCTAAAAAAGAATAGCCGAAAACCAGAAAAGAACAAACTCCTGTAAGTAAAAGCTCTCACTCATCTCTCTCTTCTCCTATAGGTTCAGATTCTTCCAGCCAAACCATTTCTCTCTCCCCCTCTCTCCCCCTTTCTCTCTCACACACACATACATACACACATAAATCATTGTCAAAAAGATGGAAGGCACAGATATATTCTGTGCATCCCAAGCTTCAACAGCCATATGCTCAAGCATGGAAATTGAGGAAGTCTCCTCGTCATCCTCCTCCTTCCCCTCCTCGCCCGCTATTCAGCTCGGTGGTCGTGCTCTCGACCGCCACAATCCCATCATCTGTGATGGAAGAAGAAACAGCACTGCCCCCAACAGTCTCTTAACGCCTCCTCGTGATTTTACTCGACCGCCTTTCAGTCCCCAACCTCACCATCAACTCACAAAGAGCAAGAAAACCTCTTCAAAAGGTAACAGAAGAACCAAGACCAAAATCCCATCAGTGAAACAAGAAAATGAAGAGAGAGAAGATTGTCATACTCTTCCATCTACTGATACTTTGAAAAAGAGCTCCTTCATTCCAACTGATATTGTTACAAGGAGCTTTGCTAAGCTGAACGATCTGATCGCTCCTCCTGCTCCACCACCAGCTGGCTCCTCCAGATACCTACTTGGAAGTGATTCACAATCAGAATTCTTTGACAGGTTACCGGAGAACGACCCTGTTTACGATATCGTCCCAGCTGATGATTACCAAGAACTCAAAACTGACGTAAACCAAGATGGGTCTACTTCAACAACTCAAGAAACATTGTCTCAGCAGCCCAAACCAACTCCTACCAAACAGGTTTGCCACTTCGCTAACCTTTTAGTAATACAGAAGTAACATGACAGGAAAAAGAAAAGCATGAAACAATGTAACTGGTTTTAACATTCTAGAAGTTAATGGCTATCTTTTTCTAAAACAGAGATGTTTGGTTTTGGTTTTGGTTTTGGTCGCAGGTTGTGGTCTTGATGGTGTCACTGCACTGTAAAGGCTGTGAAGGGAAAGTCAGGAAACATCTTTCAAAAATGGAAGGTATGCTAAAGCTTCCCTAAAGAATACACTTAATCTATTGATTCTTTTCAAATTTGTATTCTTTAAGAATACGCTCTTCTCTAAGATTTGATGTTTTTACGCTTGACCCGATCGACTAAGTATGAGACCGATTTCACTTCTAATTCTGCAAGCAGGAGTTACATCCTTCAACATAGACTCTGCAGCCAAGAAAGTGACAATAGAAGGAGATGTAACGCCAGTGGGAGTTTTGGCAAGTGTATCAAAGCTGAAGCACGCTAAGTTTTGGACTTCTCAACAGCCAACACCACCACCGCCCCCACCGACTACGCCACCACATCCACCACCATCCACCGCGTTAACGGCGGCTTCAACATCAGCCACCACAGAAATGCCAGAAAACCAGCTTGGTTAATCCTATCTATTGTTTGAAAAGTTTCAAGTTATAATTCTCTCTTTCCCTTGTTACTTTTGAAGTTTTGAGCTTTCAATAAGGAAAAGAGTGGCATCTCATAATCAAAACTATTGGGAAAGAGACCACTAAGTTATTCTTAAAGAAAGGGAATTCGATTCCCCATGACCTTGGTGTAAATCCAATACAGGCATGCCTTTTCTATTCCCAAAGCCTTAATTATCTGATGAGGTTGGTCTTCTCCAAAAAAAATATATATATATTCCCCAGAATATGGTTATGGGAAGCTGTTGTTTAAACCTTCATTGAATGGCTCTTGGTAAGGGTCATAGACTAACGGTAATGTTTAGCAATTACAGCTATAATCACATCGTCCTATGATCCTTAAGTAAGATGCCATATAAGCTCAAAAGGTGAAAAGTTTAACTTTAAAACTTATCTAAACTATAAAAAAGTGTTGAACTTAGCTAGGATTTAACATAGACAAGGTTTTATGCATCCTTCTAAGTCTAAAAGATGCAGCATTTAATCATGAAACGGGTATTTGCATTCCGTTTAAAGGCTTTGATATCTTATTTCAACAGAGAAATTATATGAAAGCTACACGATCTATGAACACATGTCAACTACCTCGTCTATGAGTTCGTCTACCAAAAATCTCTCAATTTCCTTGCCTACTACATCAACATCATGCCCCAACAAAAACCATTGAGTTGTCCTTCCCACCACTTTCTCTACAATGTCTTCATCTACTTTCTTCTCTTGCTTAGCTAAAAACTTACACAAAGTATTGTAGAGCCCTTCATTATTCTCGACTTGAATTGTTGGGGGCCTTACCCATGGATAAGGGTCGGTGAATTTTTGGTAAATATCCAAAATTCCTAAATTTATACGGTCAAAAAGTAGCTTTCTTTCTGACCTTGGTTGAGAAGACCAATTCATGTACTTCTTCTCAAGCTCCTCAAATGTAGAAGGATCTACGGGGCATTCAAGAGAATGCCACGTTGCAATAAGCATGTCGGGATTGGTATCTTTGAAAGCTGAGTTCTGTAAGACATCGGCTAGATATGAAAGCTCCCAGCTATCTTCAGTTTTACATGCATATTTCTCCTCTGGAAACCCAATGGATTCTTCCTCTCCATCTTCGTCACTCGAGATGTGCTGGGTTTCTTCAGATTCAGTAAAAGCTTCTGTCTCTAACTTGAGTAACTTGAGTTGCATTCGAAGCCCTGTATTCATGAGAGAGAATGAATTAAAACTTTTCCAGCTTAAGAAACCCAAAGATAGCCAAACCATAGATTCTAAAATCTCCAAAGGCCTGGCTAGTAGTCATTTTCAGAACACTTGAGTGAGATCTTAGGCATTTCAGAGCGTAGGATTCAGATGTGCATTCAAGCCTTGATATCTGAATATATTATTCAGATATGTTGAGTCTACGATTGATAGCAGAATGAAATCCAGGAATATATAAAATATGGTGGCTTTATACTCCTCACTTATCATATCATATCATATCCATCTCTGTCTTGCCTCTGTTGAATGAAGACTTGATCACTCCATTCAATAGTTTTATTCTTTCCTTTCCATCCTTTTAAAGTCCAGCTAAATTTGGAGAACTAAAACGAAAAGCAAACTATTGCACTACCTATAAAGATAATGATTTGGTCCAACATCATAAACAGTTACAGATGACTACCACACAATTGACCTTCAGTAAGTTTAACAGCAATACCATGGACAAATTTGAAGCACAGTTCAATATGTTCATGTTTTGAATAAAATCATTCTTGAATAACAGGCAGCAAATTTCAATTACTTCAAAATTAGGTTGATTTCATCTGCCAAATCAATTCAATAAATGCCAAAAGGAGAACATAATCTTATGTAATTACCATGGAGGTCAGCACTGAGACTCTCAAAGCAATCAGAACCAGGAGGTAGATCATCCGTAAAAGGAGGTTCCAGAACTGAAACTGGACTTGGCTGATCAGCCTCCTTAGAGCTTACGGGAGATTCTAATCCAGGAATAGATTTCAGATGGCACGAAGTATCCTCAGAAGCCTCAGGCGACAATTCCTAGATATGAAAAAATGCTTTAGCTGGGAAAAAGTGTTGAGTGCAAGATTTCATGGTCAAAATATCTTGAAATGTACAGTGAGAATATTTGAAGGCAAACCTTAGATATAAAAGAATCTTGGTCACCAAAGCAAGAATTATCTTCTACCACTGAATGAACAGACAATTCAGGTTGAAGTTCATCATTAGACAAAACAATCACTTCATCCGATTTCACTCTCAAATCCATCCAATTTTCAAGAACTTGAGTCGGGTCTTTCACAGGAAGAAATGTTGATTCTTCAACAACCTGAAGATTTCTTTCGGCTGGATCATTGTCATTACAATCACTGTCTTGATTCTGGCTAGTGCAAATCTCCAGTACAGGGCTATTACATTCCCCAAATGAACAGGTAGAACTGTGAGATTTCTTTCTCCTAGATCTGGAGCTTCTGCGGGATATACGTTCCCTTTGGCACGAACTCTCCCTAATTGCCTCCTTTCTTTGCCACTTGACGGCCTCATTTGGTATCACAAGTTGATCCATGCTCAGAGAATCAGAATTTGTTTTAAAAATCTCAAAGGCAGATGATGAAGCGGGAAGAGATCTAGACCTATACAATTTTTCTACGCAGATGTCCTTCCAGCCATCCCTACTGCTTATGCCAAAAGGTTCAGTGCGTTGATCATTCAAAAGTTTACCACTGGATCCTCCACCATGCCTTGGTTCCATATACGCAGGAATTGTTTCTTTCTCAGGCATGGCAAGCATCTCAGCCAGTGTGCGACTCCTACTAACAGTACCCATGTTATGGTAGTCACAAGTCGTTTTCCACCTTTCTGACAATCTCTTCTTAGCCTCTGCACTCAGCGATGACTTTTTATAACGAAACGATGAAGACCGGCATTGACCATTTAAGTCAAACTTGTAACTGGAATTGCATTTTTCAGCATCTAAATCATTCCCAATGAAAGGACTTCCATACCTATCCTGTCTTATTATTCCAAGAGATGAACTCATGGAACTAGAATCAAAATTCTCTCTCACTTGCCTAGTTTTCTTCTTGGAAATTTCTTTAGAATATCTAACCTCGTGACTTAGCCCTACATCATGATCATGAGTTCTCAAGGTTTCCACCCCCCTGTTCTCTGTCCTTTCAGAGTCTGATGGCTTCCTACAACCAGACTGAAAAACATGTGAGGACGATATAACAATGCTGGCAGAATTCTGTGCCTCTCCAAGTTTTGGCTTCAAGACAACAATTCTTTTTGGGAAGACAGCCAATCTTTCATCATCTTCTAATTTAATTCTTGTACTCCGCACAGAATTTTTGGCAACATAATTACCATCAAAGGAGCTCATATGACCACTAAAATGTTTGCAAGGTTTTGTGCGCTTCTTTCGTGGATTTCTCCTCACTGACTTCCTACCATAGTTATAGCACCCATCATTCTCGTCATCTGATGATTTCATAGCTACCGCATGAGAACAATTAGAGTGGGGAAGAACATCATTAATGTCAAGCAGATGCTTCATGAACAGAGAGTCTGGCTGCTGGAGATATTTCAGTATAAGTTTCTTGTTTGAATCCAGCACTTCAAATGCATCATGAAATTCCTTGGAACCCTGTAGCTTCTCATCAGCTGCAAAACGTTTAGCATCCATGAACTTCTTATGAATAAATTCCATATCTGCTCGGGCAGGCTTCAGATTAGCAGTTCTCGGTACTGAGAAACTGCTGCTTCCCTTCATTGAAGTTTCCTGTATCTCAAACACATCCTTAATTTTTTGCTGATGCCTTGAACTTCGTGCATACAGCTTATTATCGTCAGATGTAACACGCCTTTGAGATTTTTCAGGTGATATCGTCCTCTGCAAATAGTTCCCTTCTGTCTTCTTCTGTTGTTTACAATATGACTGCCGATGCGGCACTGGCATCCCATCCAGACCCATCAATTTGGCAACGGGACTAGGTGACCTCCTCCTGGATTCAGTTTCTCTAGACATTTCTTCTGCTAAAATATTATCAAGTTTCCAAACCTTGCCTAAAGGACTCCTAATTCAACTTAAGTGTGAACTACGATTTCTGAATTCATTTTACCGAACCATCAGTACTGTTTCTATTTTTATACTAGAGCGTAACCAAAAAAGAGGGAGAATCAACAGAAGAGATGATGACATTTACATAAGATAAGAAAAGATCTCCTAACTCAATTTGATGAAGGAAGTGGTATAAACCATATCACATAGCTCATCCAACATGTAATGCAAGCATGCAATCTGCTGCTGGTGAGATTTGAAGACCTGGCTCTTTCCTGGAAAATTTATTAAGGATCTTCAGTTTGAATGCAGCAAGAGCAAAAAGGGGTGAAGGATAAAAGAAATTTGAAAAAGAAGACAAAATAAAAAACCCAAAGTTTGAAAAATAGAATTAGAGATGATTTATCAGGGAATCTAGTATTGCTACTCACAGAATCCAATATTCTTTTTAAATTTACAGGAAATATTTCAAAAAGAAGAACAAAGCATGAAGAGTTCACAAAAAGTAAAAATGAAATTCAATTTAAAGGTGAACTTGGCAAAGTACTTGGGGTGGCGATCACTTCTCCGAGCTACTTGTTTTCACGCGCCTCAATTATGCCAGAAAAATCATTACGAAAAGAAATGATTTTATAAAGAAATCCCTGAAAAAAAGTCAAAAAGCAACTTCTTGAAAACTTGCTTTAGCAAAGGTACATTCAAACCCAGGCAATAACATAACCTTTGAAGCTTCATATTGCAGACAAACTGCAACGGACATCAGTAAAAAATTAAATATGTAGAAACAAAATTCTTTCTAATTACTCATTTTCTCCTCTTGCTAAAAGAAAAAGGAGCCAGCAAAAAATCAAATCCTTGGCTTTTCAAATCAAATTATCAAATCAACCAAAAAGCAGGCTAATGGGATCGCAACTTTCTCAGTTTCATTAGCATTTTGCAGCAAAACAAAGGAAAAACCACACGTTCCAGCCGAGAAAATTGTAGCACAACGCAAGAAGAACCATTATATCAAAAAAAAAAAACTCGATCAACGATTTACCTCAGTACATCCAACATAAGTACAATAACAAACAAACAAACAAGTCCGTCTCTGTACTCTTTTCCTTTCCCGAAATTTCCTCAAGAGCCAAACAGAAAACACCCCAAAGAAACAAGAAAAATAAAGAAAGAAACCTTCTCGAATAAGTCGCCCCCTCGTAACAACTGTTCAACCCGAGCTTGGACGAGTGATTCCCGTGAGCTTCTCTACCTATTTGACTGAAGCAAGTCGAAGCTTCTCCATCCAACGCATTAAAAGCAAATTCTAAACAAATAGCAAGGGAAGGGCATTCTCAGTCTCAGATTCAAATTTCAGTACAATTCGGAAATCTGCAGATCGTGGGATTCGAGAGAAACCAGCCAATCTGGAATGTGCGTAGGACAGGGAAACAGAACCTAACCGTATCCAAATCGGAAACAAGAAATTCCACACCGGTGGATCGAGACGGCGAAGAGCGGCGGTGGAATCAATGAGAGAGAGAAAAAAGAGAGAGAGAGAGAGGAAAAAAAAAAGGGAAAGGGACTTGGAACATTCAAATTGGCAAAAGATTGAGAAAGATGAGCGGGCAAGTGGCAAGAAAGAGAAAGAAATTTGGAGGGTAATTTTGTAAACTCACAGACAGGGTAGATTTGGTAATAAAATAGTTTACAACAATTCTTTATATTTAAAAGTTTGGTAGCATCAAACATCTTGACTTTTGTGTATTTATTTATTTTTAAAATGTTTACCTTTTTTTATTTTTTATTTTTTTTATTTTTTTTATTTTATTTTCTTCATCAATACTTATATAATACTTTATTCCTATGTAGTTTAAAGGATAAGAAAAAAAAAATTAACAAAATTGAAAAAATAACTCATATTATCCTAATTATATGTATATATATATATATATATATATATATATATTTCCAATCTTGCCAATATTATAATTTTCCACAAAAATAATTATTACACTATAAATCCTATTAAGTGATACCAAAGCAAATATGAGATGATGTAATTAATAACAAATATAATTTAATCAAAATTTATCAACCTTTTACTTTTTACAAAATACCAAAACTACCCACTTCCAAAAGTCTAAGGGCATTGTTTTTTTTTCTTTTTTTTTTTTTTGTATTAATTAATCCTATTTTCATAACTTACTTTCATATAATTCTCAAAACCTTCCTTCACTAATAAATCACTCCTGTTTGGGTCCCCATCCCCATCCCCATTCCTATGAAAGGATTGAGGCGAGGACGGGGTTGAAAACGGAAAATATTTTCCGTCCTCGACTTCATTTATCTAATGGGGAAAAAATGTTCTCCACTCCCTCCCTCAGTCTCCGTCTAAATGAGAAATCCCCGGAAGTCTGATTTAAAATTATAAAAGTAGATGAATTGTGGGTATAAATTTGAATGATTTATGAGAATATAAATAAAAATAAAAATGAAAAAAATTGTAGTATAATGCATGTCATGAAAGTACTTGCTACAAATATTTTATTGGGAAATAAAAAGGATGGGTAAGCATGCAGTGGTGCATGAAACATGGACAGAGTGATAGGACATATGACAACTGAAGCTTCTTTTGTTTCCTTCCAATTCATTCACTGCTCCTAGAGAGAGAGAGAGAGAGAGAGAGAGAGAGAGAGAACAGACAAGAACAGAGGGAAACAGGGCGCAAAAAAACAAGAAGTACCATATAAGAACAACAGCTTGAGTTTATTGGTCATTATCACTACAAATCTTACCATATCATACAATAATCAAATACATACTCATTCAAGCATTTCATTATTTAATCCAGAACTAGTTAATCCAACTTAGAATATATACTTAAACTACTTAATCCAACTTAGACATATGGATTTCTATCAGAAACAAAACAAAATAAACTATGAACTAGAAAGGTAATGATATGTATTATCAACTAAAAGGTAAAAAAAGTGGAAAGACCCACTTAAATTTTTTAAAAACTTTGTACTAAATCATTGAAGATTTTTTTTTCAAAAAAATAAAGAACAAAAGATCATTTCTCAGTGTTAAGAATAATAAAATAAAATAAAAAGTAATCTCATTATTACTTATTTAGTTTTTATTTTGTTTGTGAAAACTTTATTTGTTTCTGATCATTTGAATTCTTAATCAAACTTCAACCAAATAAGTTTTCGAAAACGAGTTCTTTAAAATTTGACTTACGTTAGGTAAGAAAAGTAAATATCGAAACAAGGAATTCATGAATAGAAATAGGATTTATAAGCTTCATCTTCTAAAATCCAAAATTTAAAGTAAAATGGTCATTGAATGAGACCTGAAAACTGTCCTTGGCTTAAAGGTTATAAACTAAAAACTAAATGGTACCTGAAATGATGATAGTTACAGGTAAAAAGATCATCATGGACATGTCCTATATTAAGCAATCAAGAGGCACATGAAACCAAGAAGATGTATAGACCAACCTTTGTGTCGTATCTTGTGGGGAATTCTTGGTCTCCAAGCCTCCACTTGTTCTTTACCCTCTGCAATTGCATGGCCCAGATGAATTAATGCGACATGACAGAGAAATGAAACTCAAATTCATTTTTAAACCCAACAAATACAGACACTATTACATCATGAGAATCTACATCTACCTAAGACTGTATCTCACTTCAGAATGTAAAAGTAAAATGAAAAAGAAGCGAAGTCCTTTGAAGGGAGAAAATGAAGCCGAGCATTAAAAAGGCCAGATGTTACGGGCTATGTCGTGCATGGAAGAGACATACAGCCACAAAAGTTGAAAGCAAGGGGTGACCTAAAACATTTAAAAAGCATGCCATGGTGCTCCACTTCAATTTTCAAATGGAAGGACACTATTTAATAAAGTTAGGCATAATAATAGACGCAAATCAAGACTACTTTAATCAACAATAATAATCGGGTATTATTCATGACTAGTTTAAGAGTTTAAACTAGTTCTAAACTCTATGTGCTAAGTAGAACCCACTCTAAAAAGTTAAACAAGAAGAAAAACATACAAATATCTCTTTCAAATCTTTAATACCTTGGTTAAGAGTATATGGCTCAATCATATAATCATTCCACCCAAAACTTTTGAAAAACTACGACCGTGACTCGATTTTTTTAGCACGTACTTCAAACGTTTCAGATTTGGGTTTCCGAAGTAGGGTTCGATTTGAAGAACTCTTTTACTGTTTTATGCACACCGTTTCTTCGAAATCCTATTCTAAATCATAAAGCCTAATCATTCCACCCAAAACTTTTGAAAAACTACGACCGTGACTCGGTTTTTTAGCACGTACTTTAAACATCCCAGATTTGTGTTTCCGAAGTAGGGTTCGATTTGAAGAGCTCTTTTACTGTTTTATGCACACCGCTTCTTCGAAATCCTATTCTAAATCATAAAGCCTAATCATTCCACACAAAACTTTTGAAAAACTACGACCGTGACTCGGTTTTTTTTCAATCTCAAGAAACAGTGAAGCTTTTCAGGGTCTTTATGTCCAGGTGCAAGTAGTCTGCATCTTCACAAACATGTCAATTTCATTGAGCTCCTCTCTGAGACGATGCCCAGACCGTTATACCTTGCGTGCGGGTTGGAACTTACCTGACAAAGAATTTCGCTACCTTAGGACCGTTATAGTTAGAGTCGCCATTCACTGGGACTTTGATCGCTAGCTCCCCTGTCATCAGGTCACTAACTTTCTTGACCGTCCGTACAATCTTCACCATTTTATAAACAAGATCTAGAGATTCAAGAGAAAGGAGAAAAGCAATGTACAATCTTCACCAGTCACCCTAATAGAAGGAGATACAGTGCTAAAGTAAATTCAAATGTTCACTACTTAAGATTTAGGAGAAAAATTCAAAGTTCCTGTTTCTCCCTTGAGAGAGAGAGAGAGAGGGAAAGAAAGAAAGTAACCAAATGTTGCTTTTGAACAAGCCAGAAATGCTCTAACTCAGTCCAAAACAGGGGGGTTTTGTCAGCCAAATTGTAGGAAATAATTTTGTTTCTGGTTTCCTTCTCTCTACCGAAAAGGATCAAACCTGCAACATGTGGAATTCCCCAAGACTTTTTTCTCAATTCCCCACAAAGCCAACAAGCTACAGAAGGTTTAGGACAAATTGTAGGAAGTAATTCACATAATGGCATGATTCAAAGTTAAAAAAATTTGTCCAAACACCCATGATGAACAATAGAAGTTCACCAACCAAAGAGGACTTTGATTAGACACATGCAATTCAATGCACCAAGCCCCAGCAATGAAAAAAATAGGATCCATAACATGGGAATAACAAAACATATTTACCTCATCCCTTAATTTCAACCAAATATGAGTAAAAGTGGAGCTAGATTGCAACTAAGCAACAAAACCATCATTGTAGAACCAGAAAGCTCTGAAGATATGAAAAAAGACAGTCAGTGATTTGAAGTCGATGCATCCCTCTCAATTTGTTGTACGAAATGCTTGGTTGAAAACATGTTTTCATCAAAATATTCTTTGTAGGGATGGTTCTTCGGAACAAGCCTTCGAAATATCTCAAATTGTTTCTCAGCCTCATCATTCTTCTTAAGCAGAGTATAAAGAATTCCCTGACACAAATGTGGCCTAAAATCCCTCGGCTCCTCCCTCTCTAGTTCTTGGTAATCTTTCAGTGCTTCAGAGTAACTACCCTCCATAACTTTAATTTGAGCTATCAAGAGCTTAAAGTCCCTTTCCTCCGATTTCCCTTTAAGTTTCTTGCAATGTTCTAATGCCCCTTCAACCCTATTCAGAATCGCCTTCAATGAATCAGTATCTGATGTCTCCGTCAACATTACAAGCCCATGATAGGCCTCAGCCTGAAAAGGATCCTTCAATAAAATCCTCTCAAATTCCTTTCTCGCCAATTCAGAATCGCCAATATGAATATAAACGTTGGCCTTCAATACTAGCCATTCTAAGTCATCGGGCTCAAGTTCAATTAAACGGTCTAATATTTTAATCGCTTCAGGAAACTTGCGAGACTTAACTCTCACCTCCATGAGCGATCCAAGAGCTTCAACGTCATTGGGATTGTGTACCAGTTGTTCTTCAAGTGCCCTCTCTTTATCTTCTTCACCATCCGTTGATTCCTTCACAGATTCCACCGTAGGCGGAGGAATTGGGGCTGCAACAGCAGGTTTGCCGCAAAACCGCATAAAAAACAAGGCGGCGGCGGCGGCGGCGGCAAAAGTGACGCAGGTGGTTTTGAGGATCGACGAGGAAATGGGGTCTAGAATTTGGGGGAGTGAAGGCCCACGCCGTCGTGGAGCTTGACAAAACGAGTCGAAGGGTAACGACGGTGATCGCTTCAAGGCTCTAACAGATGACGATCTGTACGACGACGACGACGGTACCGGCAGTGGAGTTCTGATGCTAAGATAAGAAATTGGTTTTGAAATCCAGGGGACACCGTTGACAAGAAGGTGAAGGGACTGGTGGCAGTGCTGCAGCTTACCAAGAGAATCCATGGCGCCTGGAGAAGAGAAATGGGATGTTACAGGGGAAATCCAAAACCCTGATCACGTTACCAAGGGAGAAACCGAAGAACAACGACGATGAGTGTACAGAAATCTGCGTATGTACACCTTCTACGACGTCGTTTAACTGCGGAGGCAAAATGCGCCATCATTTTTGGCGCTATTTTCAAAATATATACATAGCTTCACAAAATTCTATTTTGAGCTTTAATAATTATTTTACTTCAAAATTTTAAGATATTTTCCATTCCAAAATCTTATATTTTATGTAATAATTGCTTTGATGTTTATTATCAAATTTCATGTTAGTTTTTACAAAAACCGTATGCAACCATCAAAGAGACCAAATTGTAATGAGAAATTCAATTTTTTTTTTTTTTTTTTAATAATAAAGAGCATTTCAAAACTTCTGAAAATTAAAATATATAAATAAAAAAATTTTAAAAAAATGAATGGCTTTTATATATTTAAAAATTAAAACCCCCCAATTTAAAGAAGAAACAAAAAAAATATACATATTCAAGGAGCTTAGGTTTCATTTCCCCATTTCAGAAAATCTATTTTAATTTCCAAAAATACTTTTTAATGAATATGAAGATGAAGATTTAAATCTCGAACCTCTTAATCAAATATCATCTGTTAATGAGCTCAAGTTGCATATGCACCATGACTTCTATGGAACATTATTCAAACTCATTGAGTGGCCATTGTGTTGTTCAATTGAATGAAGGCATTTGATAACCCAACCTAAAACGAGATGGTCGAACACTTTCTACATATAATTCATTTGTTTTCCACTTCCATCTCCAAAAAGATTGTTTACTTTGTATATAATGTTCAATATAATCTCAATCATTTTCTGTTACCTCCATCTTCCTCTGTGGCTTTCCTATGGTATTTCTGTCAGTAACCAAAAATGGCGGGGCAACGCTCGTTCTCTCTAACACACGCCCTTTTCGGCAAGGTTGCTCACAGCTCCAGTTTTCATTCAGTGGCAGCTTTCGGTTTGCTATCTACATTCCAACGGTTAGACCTTGCCCAAGCACCTGGAAATAATGAACTAGCCAGTATGCATATCAATACAAAAAGAATATTAGTACATTACTTGGGTAAATTTGCATAAAAACCTTCACAAACCAAACTGGAATAAGGAACAGATCAGATGATGATTGTATGAAATAGACAAGGGAACAGGGGAAAGAAAAAGGAATGTGATAGAATCATCTTTAGGGGTTTTAGCTACACAAGAATTTGACAAATACAAAAGAATAAAAAGGAGGAGATGATGAAGAGCAGCTTATTAGTGAAACAATTCATCACATTTTTAAGTTTTTCTTTCTCCCTCGATAGCAGAGCTCACTCTTTGATTAAAATGCGAATGAGAACTACAAAGGGTAACCACACCTTCTTAGATCCCTCGTGAAGAAAGGATGTCTTAGTGCTTCCCTTGCCATGAGCCTCTCGGTGGGATCATAGCGTAAGAGGCCTTGCAGGAGATCAATCAAATCACCAGCAGAGTGATCGACATGCTGCATTACAAGGTTCTGCATGGAACATTTCAAAAGAGAACACTAAACAATTACAGCTTGAAACTTTAAAAAATAATGATAATAGTAAATAAAAGAAGTGGAAGGTGAAAATAAGTGGAAATAATTACCGGAAGCCTAGGTAACTTCCAGACTGCTCTCATGCTTTCACGAGATGTTACACTCTGGGGCCAATCAAGCTGCATGCCCCGCCTAAAGTATTTCTCAGCACGTCGACTGCAAAATTTATGACAAATTACGAATAGTTAGAGCTTTGTCAATAACTCAAACCCAAAAATAACTACATAAAAGGAGAACAAAATCCTTACTCAGCCCGCAGAACCATATGTTGAGGTAAGGGGCCCAAAACCTTCTCCATCATGGCAAGATGCTCCAAGTTTTCGTGTGTTTGAAAAAGTGCCTCGCCCTGCTTACCGAGCAAAAGATAAATTATTAAAGCAGAAGTCAAAAGATAATACATAGCTAGTTGTAAAAATAACTCGACTAATAAGAAAACAAAAAAAGGAAATTCATATTTTCCAAACTTTTTTGAAATCAACATTTTATAGTGGCCAATTACCAAACATAACTCCCCATGAAGTTGTAATGAGCAATAAGTCCTACAAAATCTCTCACCGTGATCTACACTATTTACAAGGATTCTTTCCCCAAAAAGCAGCCAGGACAGAAGAGCAATAAAAAGGAAATCCCCAATTCCAAATATTTTTAAACAAAGTTCAGCTTTGATCAAGGAAAAATGAAATCTAGAAATCTAATGAAAGCAATAAATGGTTTAACCTAGTCTAAATGATAGTGCTTACAGAACAAAGTTCAACAAGTATGCATCCCACGCTCCATAGGTCACAAGGATAGTTCCATCCTAGACCTGCAGGCAATATAACAGTGTGTAATTCAAGGGAGCGAGGCATAGCAACTGGTAGAACAATGATACTGCAACTGGAAATATGTACCCAGGATAACTTCAGGTGCCCTATAATGACGTGTGGAAACAATATAGCTGTGATCTTGATGTTCAGTAGTGGTACTTCCAAAATCAATGAGCTTGATCGCAGCTGACTTTGGAAGATTCTTGAAATAGGACCCGTCTTTTGCTGAACGTGATAAAAACTAGAATGCAGGAAGGGGGTTAGTTTATAAAAAGAGCAACATATATCAAACATCCAAAAATGTTCCCTTCCCACACATGACCGCAAAGGTATTGAAAGCAATCAGTATACCTTATGGTCTGGCACTCTAATGAACTCTGAGGAAACAAGAAGAATATTCTCTGGCTTCAAATCAGTGTGAATCAGCCGTAGCTCGTGCATAACTACATATAATCATTGAAAAGGTTAATAAGACAGACATCTGTTATATGTATAATATTTCATGCACCAGCAAACAAACTTGAATTTCAGTAGGCATCATATATTTCAATAAGATATTCTAGGATCCATGTTGCATTTATTCATGCGTCAAGTAAATAACAAAAATTGCAAGAATTATTCACACACATGCTACAGACTCCAGAAGTTGTCTGGCAAACTCCCGAACAAGATCAATGGGAAATGAACGGTAGCTGTTTTTGCGAAGAAAATCGTATAAGCTTGGTCCAAGCTTCTCAAATACCTGCCGAAACCATTTAAATTCATCTGCAAGTTTCCTTTTAACTCACACAATATTCAGGCATGGAGAAACTAGTATTGCCCCTCCAAATTAATCAAATCAGGAGATATTAACAAATACTTACAATACATATATGATTACGATAGTCAAACCAATTCCGAATTTGCACACAACTGCAAGGAATGAAACCACTTATACTAGTATTTACTTTGAACTTCTCCAACAAAAGAGTGAAGTAAGATTGAACAAATCTTACCGAGTGCCTCCAATATCATGCCTAGCCAGCCTTTGTAGGACATCAATTTCAATCATGGCAGCTTCACGATATTTGCTTATAGAACGAACAATTTTAATAGCCACAACCTCTTTTTTCTCACTATCCAAGCATTCTAAGACTTGTCCAAATGTTCCTATAGAGATGGGGAAAATTTTATTGAATTTTGTAAAGAGAAAAGACAAATAAATAAATAAACACATAAAATACACTAAGAGAGAGCAACAGAGATAAATATAGATACATTGAGAAGAAGATAAAACTAGGTTCCTGAAGCTGCTATACTAACCTTCACCCATTTTGCTCAGAATTCTGTCTGCAGAAGGCATAACACGGATATCAGCTAATGCCAGAGGTATAACAATAATAGGCACAAGTATCAAGAAATACGCTGTGGGAAATAAAGGATCAACGTTTCTACCATCTATTACTACGTCCAAGATGCAAAAATTAATCAGATAACTTCCAAATTAGAAACAAATTCCAACAAATTTACAATTAATCTGATCCCTCTCTCAAAAGTGTCAAAAATTGCACCAAGGGATGGCAATGAACATATCATGAGAAAACGAAAAGCAAGTTCATATGCTACAGTAAGAGAACTGGGAGATACTTACAACGAGGAGTCAAACATTCTCCAATGGAGAATACATAGTGTCCATCTTTGTCATCAGGCCTCCATGGAGGAGATCCAAGGCGCGGTGCCCCCCTGCAATACATAGTCGGATATCCATAATTGGAAAATTGCCCATTCCCAAATTCCTGCCCGCAGTATGGTGGTGGAACAACCTGAATTCATAACAAGTCAAAACTCAAAGTTAAACATAAGTGCAGAATCATCGAACTACAAACGCTTTGGTCCCTAGATCTCATAATACGGACAAAAGCATAAAGAGCCGATTCAATTTCCATGATTTGAAATTTTCAATCTCCATTCCACAAGCACAAGTTATTGTATAACATGGTAAATGAATTATAACGATAACCAGGTCCTTAAAACGAAGAATTAGATTTAAAAATACAAAATAAAACTCGTAAATCCCAACATGCACGAAAGAGTAACAACCAGTACCTTCGGGGGAGGAACAGGAGGAGGCATATCCCAAGCTAATCTCTGCCTCTTCTTCGGGCGTTTATCCATATTTTTGTGCGGAAATTCAATCATCCTTTGCGTCTCCATTTTGCCTGGTTTTTCCCCAATTTTCTCTTCTTCTCTCGTCGCAGAGAATTCCAAGAGAAATCGGAATCTCAACAACACAGAGCTTAAATCCGAAGATCAATTCAAAGCAAATCTGAGGGAATGAACTATAGAAGATGACGAAAATTCAACCTTCGTAACCCTAATCGTGGAACAGATCTCGAACAGAAGTTCGGACCAGTTCGGGATAAACCCAGATTGATGAGCATCCTAACTTAACCAGCAATAGCGGTTTATTTCCCTAACTATGGTTAGGAACAAGTGGGCCCATCCTCTTAGAAAAAGCTTAGTTTTCACGGAGGCGGGTCATGAAAATGAGTGCCCTTTCTGGTGGCGCTCACGAAAAAGGAAAGCCCACTGATATTTTTTATCCAAAACGTGGGCCTACAGCCCATTATAAGTAAAAAGACTAAATTACCCTACGATACTTCTAAATTTCTATATTTTTTTTTCAATTAAGAAATATATATTAACTAATCGACATATATTTATCTTCATCGTTTATTCAATTTTTTATCATGATTTTCATTTTCTTCAAAAAAAAAAATATATATATATATATATATATTTAAATTCTTAATTAAGTTTTGAAAATAAAAAACTATTTTAATTTAAAACCGATAACACGTGGCTTCGACCACAGTATAAAATTAATCATAATATCTGTATTTAAATTTAAAAGCATTATGGATATTTAGACAAAATATGAAACAATATAAAAGTAAATAAAAAAATTAAAAAATGGATATTTGAATTGAAATATATGTCTCTCAAATTATTTTTTTGAGTAAAAAAACCATTCCACTTGGTTAATAAAAATATTAAATCCCCCATTTTCAATCCTATTATGACTTGTTGATTGCTCATCAAAAATATATATATATATATATATATATATTTAAAGAACGAAATTCTTATAATTATGAAAAAATGCCAGAGTGTTCATATGACTCGAGAATTTAATTAATTTGTATTACACAACCCAAACCATAAAAGTTGGGTTGAATTGGGTTAGATTGAACTTAAAATTTTTGAAAAACAAAAAATTTGAATCGGGTCAACTTGATAATAGAATTACAATTCTACCATACATTTAAGAATATTTTACCTTCCGTAGCTGATGTTAGTTATGTATCGTGACTTATGAATATTTGATATTTTGAACTTGGTGAGATTTTAATTTTTAGTGTAAAGCAAATAAATATGATTTTTTAAAAATAATTAAAATATAAATGAAAAATAGAGAGTTTGGTTGGGTTATGAAATCTATTTAAATGGTTCAAGTCACCAACTCAACTAATCCAAAATTTCTGGTTGGTCTAAAAGATTTTCTCAGCTCAACCCAACTTGTGTATGCTGTTCAAAAAAGATCCTATTTAGAGACTGACAGACTATAACCTATGTATAAACTTTTGGCGAAGAAAGACAATTTAATTTCAAACTTAAATTTATGAATTAAATTAATGTTGAAAATCTTGAAACTTTGCTCTTTTCTTCAATTATTTGAGAAAGATGTCAAAAAAATTTTACGTTGATTAAAAAATAAAAAACTTTTAATTTATGGTTTTTGTTTTATTTATATTCGTGATTTTTTTTATGTGAAAAAACGTTAAAATTGTATTTTAATAATACTTTTTTATTTTCCAAAAGTTTTAAAAATAAATTATTATTGTAATAAAATAAACATAAGCATAAGTTAGTGATATGAAGGTCATGATAACACATTTTAAATGATTAGTCCTTCTTCCCCAACCACTAATCTTCCATATTTTAAATGATTAATTTATCCTTTTATCGTTCCTTCACGGAGCAATGATTAATTCATCTTTAACTTCTCCTTTAAATTATTTTCTATCCTATTTATCCGTTTTTTAATATTATTTCGTAATTACATTCGAGAATCAGAGAGTGCGTGTAGAGCAATTTATCACACAAGATTCGAGCTCTGAATTGAGCAAAATAATCGAAATCAGAGAGTGCGTGTAGAGCAATTTCTCTCCATTAGTTAAATGGAGTCTGGGAATAGAAAAGAGGGTCTGGAGAGATTTCTTCCCGTTAGTTAAATAGGGTCGAGGATGGAAATTATATCCCTGTCTTACCCCACCTCACTTTATATATATGTATAATTTTTTAATATGACGGAGAAAAATTCTTTGGAATAACTTGATTCCCGTAAAAATTATATCATTTGTCTTAAAAGTTTCGATTATTAACTAATTTGAATAAAAATAAAGAATGTGATGGAGTTGTAATTATTATATATAATAAAGTTTGAACTATATACAACTTTATTATATAGTTGAAAATTAAAAGCAAAAAATAATAATTATATATATATATATATATATATATATATATTCTATAGTATATACTAGTGAGAGAATTAATGTGGAGTTCTATTAATCACCCCACGTGATTGCATCAAGTTTTGACTTTATTTTAATTTTTATAATATGGTTTAATTATTATAATGTTTCGATGACATCACTTGTAACAACTCAATTCCATCGCTAAAAGATATTATTTGTTTTGGGCCATTGTGTATCGTGTAAGCCTCACTGTATTGTGAGATCTCATATCGGTTGAAGAGAGAAATAAAACATTCTTTTCTCTTCACACGTTTTAAAACTGTGAGGTTGACGACAATGCATAATGTGTCAAAGTGGACAATATCTGTTAGCAGTGAGCTTTAAGTTGTTACAATTAGTATTAGAGTTAGTAGATTATTATAAATGGTATCAAAGTCAGACATCACGCGAGGATGTTGAGCTCCCAAAGGGGGTGAATCGTGAGATCCCACATTGAATGGAAAGGGCAACGAAACATTTCTTCCTCTCATCAGTAGACACGTATTAAAACCGTGAGACTGACGACAATACGTAATGGGTCACAGTAGAAAATATCTACGAGTGATGGATTTGAGCTACTACATCACTTGTTGTCGTTGATGGTCGCTGCAGCAGCACTAGTGTGGGTCATGCTTCAAAATGGAACAAAATAAATTGATTCAAGTTTTTATGAGTCGATTGGAGAAGCACCGTTCAAAGGCTGAAGATCGGTGATTCCTTTTCTGCCTACTATGCCTTTTATAATTTTCTTTCTCTTTTATCTCGTTCTCGGGTGCTAGACCTAGACCTATCCAAATAAGAAAATTCAAATCAAATTCGATCGATAAAATTTTAAAGTATTTTATATAAATTTGATTTCATGAGATTTTAGTTGAAAGGTAGCCTTTTGCTAATCCAAGCGAGATGTTTAGAATCTGCAAGAGCCCGTACATCCGTCCACGTGGAATTTCCCTTCCCAGTGGGACACTTGTCTCTCTCGTATTGGTCTGTCGTACAAAATATGGCAAATCCAAACAAATACAATGAACCTTCAACTAATAAGTATATTTTAAAATTAATTTACTGGAAAACGTGATCGGGTGTAGCGCACTTACACGGTGAAATTATTTAAATATATATTTAATTAATTTTTATAATTATCTTTGCGTGTTTCTCCCCCAAAATCTTTGACTATAATGCCAGTCAAATGACCACGTGTAAATGCCAATATTAATTTTGTTCATTTATAAATTACCTTATAAACGCAATTAATTTCTTAATTAAATATTGAAGGTATCAAATTTGAATAATACAAACCTCGTTAATTTTATGATATTAATGGTCTTACGATGATGCTATTACATAGGTTGGGTCTAATCACATCTAAATAAGGTCAACTGTGTTAGCGTCTCGAACATCCTAGTGAGAGAGAAATAACCAATAGAAAGTTGCCAATTTGTCAAGGCTGGAACTATTAGCCGATGGCGAAGGTTCAATACAATGAGGTTTGGATTGTTATATGTATCACTAACGTACTAAAAACACGATTCAAATCCAACGCTAGTTGAAAGAAACTCGACTATAGCTAAATCCAAAACTACATATTCATCAAAACATAATTTTTAATGATAACATCGCTCGATTCGTGTTAACGCAATTTTGTTGCCACGAATCTGTTCTTATATTTATCACTAATTATAATATGATAATGTCAGGAATGGTACATCCAAAAAGCTATTTTGGAGGCTTCTTATGAAATTTTGGAATATTCCCTCCTTTGAAGCAATTTTTAATTTTTTTTGGCAAATAACTAAAAATATTGAAAAATCATAGTTTATGATTATTTATTTATTTATTTATTATTTTAAAGAAAGTTCCTCATTGGATGAGATTTCACTTAAAATATCTTGGAATATTATCTAAATATCTCCGTTATTATTTACTATTATGTTCTTCCTTTATGTGACTAAATAAAATGGTCCATAATAATAATAATAATTAAAAAATTAATTATATTTTAAAATGTATCTGACAGATATTTGAGATTTTTCACTGCTAAGTGTTAATGAAAATGATGCATGGATTCCCACCCATGCATGGCCGGAGCGCTCGTATACACGCTAAGGTCTCTCTCCATACAGTATGAACGATTGGCAACCATTTGAAGCAAAAAGTAAGTTATAACGAATCTTCAATCGAGAGTTATAAGCTTTTTGTTTCTGGGTATTGAGTTTAGCTAAAGTTCGAGAGCTCCCGTCTACAATTTCCCACCAAACTTGATCCTAGACCTTCTAAACAAAATTACCCACAAGTTTGGTGAAGAATGAAAGCGCTGAAATAGAAAAAGTGGGAATCTCGTAAATCCATTCGTGTGATTCACTAATTAGACGACAAGACATCTGACGACCTTAACAGAGTCATAATTACTCCTCCATTTACCCGCGCTTTGAAATCGGTAATTAAACTTTAAAAATCCAATAAACTTATTGTAGATATCTTTAATTTTTTTTTAAACACCGATAATTAAGTTGAAAATTTTTATACGCTAAATCAAAGCTTATCAATTGAGTTGTCGTTCGTCCTTTCAAGTGGAATATTTTAATTTTTGTTTAAATAATCTCAAATTAATATACTATAAATTAATATGAATAATGAGTGTGTGACAAATTAAATAAGGCATGGTTTTGCAAGTACATTTTGGGTCATGAATAAATATAGGAAAGTGCTAAAATCATAATTATAAAGCATATGGTACTTGTTTGATTTAAAGCCATCAATTTCTTTAAATTTTAAATTATTTTTATTATAAATGGAAATGTTTTTTTGTTTATTTATTTAATAAATGTAAGGGATGCAAAACCACTATTGAGAAAAATAATTATGTCTACCTTTAAAATTATATATTATTTTTAATTAAAATATATTTGATTTTTTTTAAATAAATAATTAAAATTTAAGAATTATACATTTACCTTGATAAAAATTTATATTGTCACAAATTTTAAATTTTTATTACTAAAAAGTACATTAATTTTTAACCTTAAAAAAATAACCATATTAAATAAATTAAACCTAAATATTTCTTATTTTATAAATTAATTATTTTTTAAATAAGTCAAAATTTTTATAAATATGAAAACAAACCAATTGTCGTTCTATTTTAAAATTCTTGGCTAGAAAGTAATTGAAAATAACGATAAATTAAAATAATAAATTATTTAAATTATTTAAAAACATGTTTATAATGATAAAAATGGCTTTATTATTTTTTAAATTACTTCTCAATAATTAGCTGTACCATACTAATATTAGCTTAAAATTTAAAAAATAATTAAAAAAAACATAATGGCAATTTTAATAAAAACTCATATTTAATCATAAATAAAAAAATTCAGTATTTTTCTGTCTTGTATAAAATGGAACCAAACGAAAAGAGATGCCAGTAATTCCCTTTCCCCTTCCCATTCTCTCTACTCTTCACTACAATAACCCAATCTCCGCCGCCTTCCCTCCTCCTCCTCCGCCGTCTCCTCCATCTCAACAACCATGGCTTCTTGAATTTACCCTGTAAGTCTTCCAATTCTCCTAATTTTACCTCTATTTTCTCTCACTTCATGAATTTATAAGTAAAATATACATCTTATTGGTATATAAAATCACGAGAGCTTATGTTTAAAGTAGATAATAGGATATATTGAGTCGATTCGTGATTCCTAACCTGTTTTCTAAGAAACCCGAGCTGAAATTATGAGAAAAGTTAAGTTTTTGGGAACTGGGATTTGATCATTTTCATAAGATCTGAAAAGGGTTGCTGAAAATTCACTCATTTTGTTGTTTAATTTGCTCTGTTTTTGGTTCTTCGCTGAGGCTGGCTGTCTGCATTTTTCGTGCAACTGGGTCTTTTATATTAGCAGTTGAAAACGCTTAAATAAAAGAATTTAAAACAATAATTAAGGTCTGTTTCGAACCCCATCTTGCTATTAGATTATTAATCAACCACTTAATTACGCCTTTTTTTTTAATTAATTACTTAGTTTAGCATTAAAAAAATGAAAAGGTTATGATTTGGATGTTTTGGCAATCATTGTCTGTCCTCCTCCGCCGTTTCAGTCGCAGACTTTTGGCCGGATTTTTAAAAATACAAAAGAAAAGCTGTGGGTTCGTTTGCCGGCGGTTGACGGCGGCGGAGCCAATGGGAATCAAACGAGGGAAAATCTTTAAGGTAAGAATTTGTCGTGTCAGATTTAATTTCCGACATGTCGTTTTTTGGGTCTTGCTTATGATGTTTTGTCGACTTGTTTCTCCGCCGCAGTCATCGTGGCCGAGAGTTGTTACAAGGAAGTGGCTGAATTTTCCGGCCGACAAGCTTTCTTTCCCGTCCGATTTCGTCTCTCGAGGTAAATTTTAAATTTTTTTAATCGCAGTTAAAATTGATTCTAAAAAGTATATTTATATTAACAAATTAATTTTATATTAAGCTTGAATTTAGACACCTTCAAATGTTATTAAACTAAAAAAAAATCATCTCATTTTTTTTCTTATTATTTTTTTAAAAAAATTCTAACATTTTTCATGGGACAAACTTTCCCTCTCCTCTAAGTTTGGAGTTTTAACTTTTTTTTGAAAGATTAAAAAAATGATATTATTTTTTACTAAAACTAATGTTGTCACGGGTCGAGTGTCTATGGAGTAAGACAATAATTATTTTAACTCGATTTTATTTTTTCACTTCTAAATATAAATAAGAATAGATATTTTTACTATATTACTATGAAATGAAAATTAAATTAAATTTGATTTTTTAAAATGGTATAATTACTAATTTGATTTATCGTTTGGTGTTTTCATTTAACAGGGAGGAAGAAGAGCTGCTCCGATCAAGACAGGTGCGCCGTCGCGCCGGAGGATATCGGAGGTAATTTAAAAAATCACCATGCAGTAATAATTTTCTACACTTACGATCAATCTACCTGATTTGATTATTGGAATATAAGGGAAAGAGTTTTAATTAATAACCCATCATTAAAAACAATGGTAAAATCTGCCGTCTTTGGGATCTGTGCCACGTGTACGGTCGATGACATTTGGAGAGTATAGGCTAGTACAATTACCATAAATTTGTATTCCACGTTGCTGGTTTTGATTGGATGTGTGAATTTCCAGTTGAAAGGTGGACAATGGAGAAGACAACGGGACTTGGAGTTCAAACATTGAACTTGAGGTAATTATTTTCATTTTTAAATATATAATATTTTAAAATTAAATTAATATTTTGGTCCATTTGCAAATAATGATTAAAATTAGTTTATACGGTTAGATTATTATGAATTTTCTAGAATTAAATTATTCCTTCTTACCATTCATTCTATAAATTGATCCCATGATATAATTTATTCCATGAAAATTGTTATTATCATTATTAAGAAAAATCAATAATAATTAACTTCAAATGGAGACTAATTTAAAGATTTTTTGTAAGTATAAAAACTTTATAGATATTTGAAAATATAAAGATTAAAATAAAGAAATATGATTTTAATATATATGGGATAATATAATATATATATATATATATATATATATATATATATATATATATTGTAAAATAAAATGATATATAATGATGTGTTTTAATTAAAATAAAATAGCACAAAACAGTTTTATTATTTCATAAATTTTATTTGATTGGGTGAATCAGGATGCTGGTAGGGACATGGAATGTGGGAGGAAAGCCACCAAAGGAAGGTTTGGACATGAGGGATTGGCTCAACTCTCCCACCCCAATTGACATTTATGTTCTTGGGTACTCTCACTCTCTCTCTTGCTTGTTTTTTTCTCTCTCTTCTAAGTTTTTGGAAAATATTTTCAACTTTTCTCGATCCTTCTCATATAAGTTATTTACCCGTCAAGAGTATGTGTGGATTGTGGAGTAGAAATTCAAACATTTAAAATTCAAAGAAAAAAAGTAGATGTCTTGTAAGATCCTACATTGGTTGAAGATGGAAACAAAATATTCCAGTGTTAAAACCTCTCTCTAACCTATATGTTTTAAAATCATAAAATCACAAACGGTAATATATAATAGGCCAAAGCAAACAATATCTGCTACTAGTGAGTTTAGACTGTTACAAATGGTATCAGAGCCAGATACCGTGTATTGTGCCAACGTTGTGATACATAATAAGCCAAAACAAAGAATATCTGCTAATGGTGAACATATATCAGAGTCAGACACCGTGTATTGTGCCAACGAGGATGATGAGCCTTCAAGGGAGTGGATTGTGAGATCTCATATCAATTAGAGAGGGAAACAAAACATATTATTTATAAGGGTGTGAAAACATCTGTCTAGTCTAGTGACTGCATTTTAAAACCAGAGGGGGGAGGGAAAGTGTAGAGAGGACATCAGTTGGCATTAGTAATTTAATTGAATTTGTTAATATATATGTTAAAGGGTACCTCTTAATCGATTACTTGTATTATTTTTCTTAATAGGTTCCAAGAAATCGTCCCTCTAAATGCAGGCAATGTGCTTGGGGCGGAGGACAGTGGTCCTGCTGCCCAGTGGCTAGCCCTTATCCAGGAAGCCCTGAACACCAACCAGCGCCAAGCAATACAGACACCAAGGCAAAGTTTCTCAGACTTTCTCGCTTTAGAAGACAACAATGGCAGTGACAAAACTGGGGTGTGCACGTCGGGTAACTCAATGCAACGACGATATTGCCTAGTAGCAAGCAAGCAGATGGTAGGGATATTCTTGTGTGTATGGATTCGAGCGGACCTTTGCAAACACGTCTCGAATCTGAATGTCTCCAATGTCGGGAGAGGTGTTATGGGGTTCCTTGGCAACAAGGTGAGCCACTATTGTATTAAAGAAACTAGAGTTATCGAATTCCAGTCAAACCCGAATGACGTTTGTGGTGTATTAACAGGGATCTGTGTCAATCAGTATTACACTGCACCAAACAACTTTTTGCTTTGTTTGCACACATTTGACTTCAGGGGAGAAGGAAGGTGATGAAGTAAGAAGAAACTCAGATGTGAGTGAAATTTTGAAGAAAACTAGGTTTTCACATTCTTGTAGAGCTACTACTGGAGCACAGCCACCCCCTCCTGAGATCATATTGGATCATGAGTAAATCCCATTTTCCTTTCTTACTAATTACCCGACCGAATCAAACCACTCGTGAAGGTTGTGATCCTAACATGAAATTATATGCAGCAAGGTCATCTGGCTCGGGGATTTGAATTATCGCCTTTCGACTGGCTGTGGGGAAACATACGAGCTTCTTAGGAAGAAGGATTGGCAGGCACTTCTAGAGAAAGATCAGGTGAGTTCAATGAACAAAAACTTCAAATCAACTAGAGTTTGTTCGTCTCCCTGATTCATTTGAACAGAACTAAACCTTAAAAAACCTCGTTCAAATCGGTTTTGAACATGGGAGTCCGACATAGGATATGGAAATTTGATTTGGTCTATTCGATCTATTGGCAGCTAAAGTTAGAGCAAAGGGCTGGTCGAGTGTTTGAAGGGTGGGAAGAAGGACGAATACAGTTTGCTCCAACTTACAAATATATTACCAATTCTGACCATTATGTTGCATTGTCCTCCAACTCGAAGCCATCCAGAGAGAAACGGCGAACTCCAGCTTGGTAAGTTTGGCAATGCTGCAAGATCTGCAAAAATAAAACTTATGTTTCTGATCAGATTCTTTCTATTGAAATTTGGTAGGTGTGATCGAATCTTGTGGAGAGGGGTAGGAATGAAGCAGATGTGGTATACAAGAGGGGAGTGCAGATTCTCAGATCACAGACCTGTTTACTCCCTCTTTTCAGTCCAAGTCGACTTAGCAAACGAGAATCTCTCAAATACCAACTCAATCATCACTGCTGCAACAAAACCGTCATTCGAAGCTGCTTTGTCATCTTTATGTGCAGCTAAAATCCAAGCTGAAGAGCTCTTTCTCAGTTCAGAGACCATTGATGCCTCCCAAAACCCCCCCTAAACCTTTCAATAACTGTAACTAGTACTCTCATGACTCCACTTTAGGAATGTATCCAATGTATATATGATTTCATGGTTTCCAACAGCTGAGAATTGAAGCTGTAAGCTCAAGCTGGCTCGATGGGAATCGATTAAGCAAACAGTAGGTGATGGAAGCTCAAGTGCTTGAGTGTGAAGCGCATAAATCGCGCATTATGGGTTAACCATACATTTCGGTCTGGTGATTCTTTTATTTTGTTGAAGGAAAAGGAATCAAATCAAGCAGGATGTGGGCGTCAAGCTCAAATTTTTTATACAGCTTTTCGAGATGTTTGTAGATATAGGAATGTGGATTTCAATGTTAATATGGGTTGAAGGTGGACGGTAGAGTCTATAATCAAGCAAGAAAAGATAGGAAATGGAAAGGATATTGTGACTGCATCACTAATTTACTCTTACATGTTTATATTTTATAGTGTTCTTATTTCTTCATACGGGTATGTTCAATTTCTAACTAACTGAATGTTCAGGTCATCGTCCATAAATGTGTAATTTCCTATCACAGAAAAATAATTGATTCTGCAAAATGGGTAGAGGAGTAGACTCAGCTTGCAACTTTCAGAACTAATTAAAGAAGATAAGCTATGGAAACACTAGGAAACTCAACTACGGAAAGCTATGGAAACACTAGTAAACTCAACTACGGAAAGCAGTTATATTGAAAATATGAAACTTCTTTTTCAGTTTGAAATGAGATATGTGGTAGATGAACCATATAATTAATTTCCTGATAAGGATTGACTATGAACTCCCAAATTGAGTTCTACTATAGCAGTACTAGTGAGAGAAAAAAAAAAAAAGACAGAAAGAAATGCGAGTAACCTAATTGTATTGCCTTGCAAGTAAACCACCTTTGGTGTAGCAGTCTTAAGATCCACAGCAAGCCGACTTCTGAGCAGTTTGGGAAGCCCCTGCTCCATTATCTGCTTGGTTTATCTTGATTGTTTGAGGCTGCAAAATCCCACCAGGTAAGCGAGAGGATGTACAAATTATGGCTATAATAACTCAAAAGAAATAATTTATGGCAAAAATAACACAAAATTTTATACCTCAGCCTTAGAATCGCTGTCAGATAGCCTTTGTTTAATATCCTTAGCTATGGAGAAGAAAACTTCTTCCACATTCAAATTTGTCTTTGCACTCTGAAATACACAACATCTTCAAGATATATGATCTAAACTAACCACCCAGGAAATACGTTCGAGAGCTGCTAAATATTTTACTTACAGTCTCAAAAAACTTAATGCCATACTCATCTGCGAGAGCTTGACCTTTGGATGTAGGAACGGCCTAAACGAAAGTTCCAGTTTTAATTACCAATTCACTGAGATTTGAACAATCATAGATTTCTGGAGAAAGTGGATTTGGAAACATACAAGTTGAAGTTACAAAAAACGTAGCAAAAATACATACCCTTTTGCTCTCATCCATATCAGCCTTGTTACCCACCAGAATCTTGTTGACATTGTCAGAAGCATGTTGTTCAATGTTACGGATCCAATTTCTAATGTCTGAATAAATTAAAAAATAAATAAGAAAAGGAAAAAGGAAAAGAAAATCATGTCTTGACAAGCAACTAAGATGTTAATAAGAAAATAGATAATGTCATGAAGAAAAGAAGATGTTCCTTTACGCAATAAAGAACAAGAAAAGCTACTCTAGTACAACTATCTTCAATGGACAAATTTCTGAACCGACTGTAGTCCTACTATGAACTTAAAAGAGCAACCAGCATCTTAAGATCTTTAACCTTTGGTTTAAGGTAGAGAAGAATTACTGTTAAATGATGACTCGTCTGTGACATCGTACACTAGCAAAATGCCCATGGCTCCACGATAGTAAGCTGCAGAAATAAAATTTTACTTGAGACTTAGTGGACCTCCCAGAAATAGGAGGAAACATTTACATACGAAAACTAAATAAATAAGATCAAATCCTTATGAGTAATCAAATATATTATGTCTGAAAATTTGTCAGCATGTAAATCCACATAGAAATTTCTAAAAATCATCCAGAATATCACAAAAAACAGAAGTCCATACTCATCAGGAAATAAAAACTTGCGCAAGGATGGAGATTAAGGATTGCAAACATTTATATGAAGATTAATCCTCTAGAAATTTAAGAAGCATGAAATAATACGTTGGAATAAAGTAGAAAGAAAAATTAAATGACTTCCAGAACTCTTCTGTAACTGCATATTCCAATATTGCTAATAAGAGTAAACGTTAAGAATGTGTACAGACCAGTTGTAATTGTTCTAAACCGCTCCTGACCAGCGGTATCCCAAATTTGCAATTTAATCCGTTTTCCATCAAGCTCAATGGTTCTAATCTTGAAATCAATGCTGTTCGAGAACAACCAAGGAAATGAAATCAGGAAGAGCAGACAAAGGAAGTAAAATAGAAAATGTATTAATTTCGATATTACAATGTAAAATGCACGTACCCTATGGTTGTGATGAAACTAGTGGTGAAGGAGCCGTCGGAGAACCGCAAAAGAAGGCAACTCTTTCCCACACCTGCCTTGTCATGTCACATGAAATAGCTTCTAAACTTGTAATTTAGGAGTCCAAGTAGAAAACGAAATCCTACCGGTACAATACATCTCTCACAACAAAAACTATAACAATATTCTATTATCCTACAAATGAGTTAATGACAAATCCTTTCGGGAACTTCACCGCTAATCCATCAACAATTTATTATGCACTACATTCTAATCGTGAAATCCACTTATCTCGCGACAAGAAGCAGCTCATGAACTCAAATTCCTAGCAGAAAAACGAATTCCTACGGATATAACACAATTCTCACATAACAAAAACTATAGCAACTTTCTCTAATCATACCAATGAAAAACCACTTCGGATATTTCACCATTAATCCATACCACGCATACTAGATTCCAATAACGAGATCATCAAAGCATCGATATTAATGAACGCATTCGTATATAAAAACAAAAATCCAATTAACATCCAGTAATTTCACAATTACTGATTATAAATCGAACGAAACCACAAGATCGAAGCTCGAACAGAACAAGAAAGCAAAATTAACGCACCGCTGTCGCCGATCAGCAGAAGCTTGATGAGATAATCGTAATCAGCTCGAGCTCGTGCAGGTGGAGCAGCCATTGAGAAAAATGAAGAGTGCAACTACAAGATCTGGAGAGAATGAAAAAATGAGAGATACGACGAGAGAGATGCCGTCGCCTGGTCCGGCGGTACCGAAACGGCCGTTGAAATCGTTTTCCGGGAGCGGAAAGAGGATTTTTTTTTTCTTTCTTTTTTTCTTTTTCAAATTGCTCCTGGTTTCAGTCTTAAGGCTGTGGGGGGAAGAACTCCGCGACCGGTGGATTTTCATACGATTTCATATCTCAGTTGATCTGACGGACAAAAACGAATCTGTAAATCCGCGCCTTCATTTCTTTTAGGGGCACTCTTCTGTGCAATAGTTCGGGTATATACGACGTCGTTTGCTGATGGCTGGAAATAGTAAACGTTCATTGCCCACTCACCTATGCCACGTAACACCCAAGGAGTCATGTAGCTTTTTTTTATTCTGATTTGTTAAACTAAAATAAAAATGTAAAAATGACAAAAAAAAAAAAAAACCCATAAAATTTTATTTTTTTAAATATTATATATATATATATATATATATATATATATATATATATATTTTTTTTTTTTAAATGGTAAAAACGTAATTTAATCTTAAAAAATTAATTGAAAAATAGTAAAAATTAATTAAGAACAAGCCAGGCAAAAATACTCTTCCAATACATAAATCCCCGTCTTCAACTAAAACCCTCCAAAATCCATCCGCAGGAAACTAGTAAGAATCATGAGCTCCTTCAACAACACCGCCAATTTTGATAATCTTCTCCTTCAAACTCTGATGGGCAGGCTCCAAATCCGGCCCCAAAGCAACAACAATCCCATTCTCGCCCAATCTCTCGAAGACCTTCTCTTCGATGCAGCCAATCTCTCCGATGACGACAACGACGAGAACAAAACGCAGCTCGCCAAAGAGGAATCGATGCTCGAGAAAGAGATTATTCGCGTGATTCTCGGTGGGAATACCGATTCACTAAAACCTAATTCCGGCCAGGCTGTTACGATCGGCGAGCACCATATATGCGTGGGGTTTCATGAGGAGAAGGATTCAGATTATCGAGTTTGGGAATGGCATGGGCATATTATGTTGTTTGATGAAGAAAATGGGTACTCGCCGGAGTATATTTATGGGAATTACTTTGAGAGGCTTCAGGGGAAGGTCAATCGCGAGTTGAATAAAAAGGAGGCGGAAGAAGAAGAAGAAGAAGATGATGATGAAAAAGAAGAGAATCTGAGCAAATTGGGTCTTCGGGAGTTGATTGACGGTGGTGATTCGAGTGGCGGTCGCATTCTGCATCGCAATGTCAATGCCAGTTCTCAAAGGTTTCGCATGATTTACTTACTGTTTTTCTGTTTCCTTAGGAAATTATGTTCTTATGAAATTGAACTGAACACAAAAATTTAACCTAACAGTTTAAGGTATAATCAGAAGGCTGTTTTCTGGAAGAAAAATTCATTGAAGTAGCCGCTTAGCTTTTAATCTCACATGCCGTTGGTTCATGTTTTTGCTTGATATATGGTATGATTTTTATTTGTATGCCACAGAGTTATCTGCCCTTCGCCTAGTTCATGGAGTAAATCATCTCTCCCAAGTCTTGTAGTTATTGTGTGGTAGACATAGGTTCACTGCCTATCATTGGAGAAGACTTTTTTTTTTATTGATTAGGTAAAAGGACTTATGGATGGACTTAGACATGACTTTATCCCCTTTATTTTTTCGGTCGAATACTTGTTCTCGATGCCTTTGGGGACGGGAGAGTCCCGCAAGACTCTTTTGGAACAATCGGATGACAGTCACTGTACAAAGAGAATCGATGTCTCTATCTTAGTGTAAGGAAGGATAGAAACTTTAAGGACATCGGGGCATTACTATTCATATTTGGTGGTTGATGGAACTTTAGAAGTGAATATATCGACTAGTAATATTGAAACCTTCATAGTAACCGGAGTTCAGCTAGGGCATAAATGATAGTTCGAGAAAGGAGGTGCTATTGTTGATGGAGTAGAAATTACCATGGCAGAAGCTCAGCCACATGAACCCTCCAGTTGTGATTTTCTATCTGTTCCACTGGAATTTGGTATTGTCGACCATAGACTAATCAGTTCCATTAGAACAGCCATATATTTGGTAAATGAGAAATCTGTAAAACCAATGAGAAATGGCAAGTATCCTAGATAGGTCGTCATTGCCTGTCATATAGGTCCATATAGTGCCACTTCAAAATGATTTTGCATCTTCTCAAGGAGGTTTCCACACCCTTATAAAGAATGCTTCGTTTCCCTCCAACCGATGTGGTATCTCACAATCCACTCCCCTTTGGGCTTTCCCTCTCTACTCGGTGTCCACCCTCCTTCGGTGCTCAATGTCCTCGTTGGCACATCGCCCGGTGTCTGGCTCTAATACCATTTGTAACAGCCAAACCCACCGCTAGCCGATATTGTCCTCTTTGAGCTTTCCCTTTCAGGCTTTGCCTCAAGGCTTTTAAAATGCGTCTGCTGGATAGAGATTTTCAAACCCTTATAAAAAATGATTCATTCCCCTCTCTAACCGATGTGAGATCTCACATTGCTAATGAAGGTAGATGTTCCTGCAAGCTAAAGTTTGGAGCATGCTTTAGTTTCTAGAAAATTTATATAAGACAAAAGGAAGTCTCTTTGATGCAGTCGCTCATATGTGTGTTTTATTTCTGAGAGGCCATATGTGAAGGTTGAATTGTTTGTTGCTTGGAGTTTTAAATGTTATTTCTTATCCTTAGTAATCTCTTGGGATTTCCTCCCCTCGTTTGGCTTGGATTTGAAGGATGACTCAAACCCCATTGCTGCTAGATTGATCACTTACGCTTTATGTGAGATCCCACATTGGTTGGATTTCCTTGTAAGAGTGTGGAAACCTCTCCCTAGCATACGTGTTTTAAAAACTAAGAGGAAGCCCAAAAGGGAATGCCCAAAAAGGACTAGACTTAAGCTTTTACAAATGGTATCAGAGCCAGACACCGGGCGGTGCGCTAGCAAGGACGCTAGCTCTCAAGGGGGGTGGATTATAAGATCTCTGATTGATTGGAGATGGGAACGAAGCATTCCTGATAAGGGTGTGAAAACCTCTCCGTAGCAGACTATTTTAAAAACCTCAAGGGGAAACCCGAAAGGGGAAGCCCAAAGAGGACAATATCTGCTAGCGGTAGGCTTGGGCTTGGGCAGTTACTCTTTCATTGGTAACTTTGTTCTAGGAAATGTCGGATATTTCAGACTGACAGAGTTGACAATTTGGTTGAATTCTTAATAATAATCTACTTGTTGAAGATGATTAGTTTTCATTCTAACAATGTTGATCATACACTTACTCCATTTCATTATATATTTTGCCATTAGGTTTTAGTCAGCTGAGTTGCGGTCTTTCGATCATAGAAAGTAGTTCGGATGCCGAAGAACGCTGCTAACGATCATCATTTTACAGATTGCACCTGGGTGTTTCTGCAGTCAGGACACTGAACTTTTTGTGTAAGTTGGACAGTAAATGAAAAGAGATGAATACATAGATTCAGTGACATTGGCTTTGTTTGATCTGTTTCTTCTCCATCCTTTTGAATAATTAATTGCTTTTTGCTCTTTTCAGTTCACTTCTCCAGTGTTGTGTGTTTGTTCTTCATCTCTGCAGGGTTCTTTGCCTTTTACATATTGGTTGCTTCAATTTTTATGCAATTTCATCCATTTTCTGTAAGAGAGGCTCACCACTAATGCTCATTGATCTGTATTTTCTCAGAGTTATGCTATGTTTTTTGAGACTATGGATTTATACGCTACCGTATAAACTCCGTACAATTTGAATCTACCGTCCATTAAACTAACTTCGGCACCAACCAAGTTTAAATTTTGCGGGGATTTAAGGACGTGTGAGATTACACCTCAATTGGAGAGGATGACTAAATATTTCTTATAAGGGTGTGAAATCCTCTTCCTAGAAAATGTGTTTTAAAATCGTGAGGGTGATATATAATCGGTCAAATCAAACAATATCTACTAGTGGTGGTCTCCGGCTGTTATAAGATGCAACAATATCTACTAGTGGTAGTCTCAGGCTGTTAAAAGACGTAGACAATATTTACTAGTGGTGGTCTCAAGCTGTTATAAGACGCAGACAATATTTACTAGTGGTGGTCTCAAGCTGTTATAAAATGCAGCAATATTTACTAGGGGTGGTCTTGGACGGTTATAAGACCAGACAATATTTACTAGTGGTGGTCTCAAGCTAATATAAGACGCAGGCAATATTTACTAGTGGTGGTAGTCTGTAAGAGAATGCATTTTTTACTAGTGGTGGTCTCAAGCTGATATAAGACGCATGCAATATTTACTAGCGGTGGTCTGGAAGACAATGAATTTTTTTCAATTGTTTAAATGACGTCATTAGAAAAATCATGGGCTTTGCTCTAATTTAGTATGATTTAGCTATTTATTTACATAACCCAAAAAAATTCCCTTTTTATTATTTTTTATAATATTTAAAAATGTTAATATAAAAACTCCATTTTCTTTAATATTTAATTGAGGCAAATATTTTAGTTATTACAACGTTGTTTTTTATTTTTTTCATTTAAATTTTTTTTGAAATAGTAAAATACTTTTTGAAATGCGCGAGTGCGAACATTATTTTTAATAATTTACCCTAAATATAAATTATAGGGATTAAGAGACCATTTAAATTAAAATAAAAAAGGAACAATTTCCGAGGCAAAAGAGATTACGAGTACATAATCTCAACCACAAATCATTTATTTAAAATCTAACGGCAGTGTACGATGCCACGCAGACGATCCGTGTGAAAGTCATATCGTCCAATAACAAACCGCCTCAAGCTTCTATATAATGACTCCTCCACCCTGATTCACGAAATCGTTCAATCCCTCCCCTGTTTCTACGCTTTTGAGTTTCTGCAAATTTTCTTCGCTCCAACAATGGCGCCAACAAAAGCCGAGAAAAAGCCAGCAGAGAAGAAACCGGCGGAGAAGACCCCAACCTCGGCGGAGAAGAAGCCAAAGGCCGAGAAGAAGATCGCCAAGGACAGCGGCGATAAGAAGAAAAAGAAAATCAAAAAGAGCACCGAGACTTACAAGATCTACATCTTCAAGGTGTTGAAGCAGGTTCATCCTGACATTGGAATTTCCAGTAAGGCCATGGGGATTATGAACAGTTTCATCAACGACATCTTCGAGAAACTTGCGCAAGAGTCTTCGAAATTGGCGAGATACAACAAGAAACCTACGATCACCTCTCGGGAGATCCAGACCGCCGTTCGATTGGTGTTGCCTGGTGAGTTAGCAAAGCACGCTGTATCTGAAGGAACTAAGGCGGTCACCAAATTTACGAGCTCTTAGGTTTCAAAATTGGTGAATTTTGGGATTAGGATTACGTGTTCCAGTTACGGTAATTTGTTGTGTAGATTTGGATCTCGCTGCTCATAGGTATATCGAAGTAATAGTTCTAATAAATAACAACTTCTTTCTTCGGTAGATTACTGTTCTTTGATTGCAAATGCTGATGAGTTATGATAATCGTTAGGGTTTCTGTAGATCTTATCTTCCATTTTACTTAAAATATCAAACTCCTTTTTAAATGTTGATCGCTGATCCAATGGTTCAATGTATGGATACGCTCTTCGAGCACATTTGAATTCCTTTTCCTGAAATCGACGAATTGATTTATCTACGGCATAGCCAAATGTTCATGATGATCACCGTCATTGATTGTGGTTGCTTCTCGTAATCTCGGGCTGGAAGAAAGGAAGAAAGCAATTGATTCTTGTGAGATTCGAGTTCGCAATTATCTATACTCTATAGATTGATTTGTTCATCGGTATAATTATCCGCGTGCCCAACATGCTCATCAAGAACAAATAAATATATTTTTGTGTCTTAAAATTTGAAACCAACCTCCAGATGAGCAAAATCGTAATGAACAAGATCTAATTTTTGCATAAACCGTCTTCGGTGGTCTATGAGGATTGGGCAAAGTCTTCAATGCCTCAATGCCTCAGGCATTGAAGTTTAGTTTTCGCATAAATTGTGTCTGGTTGAGTCGATGAAAGCCATTTCACCACGACCGTCTGCAATGCCAGCCAACGAAGTTCTATTTTTTTTTTGCTTAAATTGTGTTTGGTCGAAGGAGAATCTCGTCTAAGTTCGATGAAAAAGAATAGTAAAGTCAGGTGAAGTTGCAATGCCTAGGTAAATAAGTTCAATTTGTGCATCAGTTGTATCTCCTAGGGGCGTTCCTCAGCCATGATTCGTCAGAATAGCAGAGTCAAAATAAGTACAAGTATTAGGAAAATAGCAAAAATGTGTAAAAATGTGTTACTCGTCATTTTAATTATGTTTGCTTGCGTAATTGTGATCTCTCGGGAGAATCGATGACTGCATTTTGATGCACTTGCTAGTACTAGTACATCTGAGAATTCTTAATTGACTAGTTGTAAATAGACCTAGATGGTGGAACAAAGGATTATCCCGGACCTACACCGAGGTATTGACGGTCTCCGAGATCCTTTCGATGACCTATGTTGTGTTGAAGGGATATCTATATGATCCGATTGATTGCTTAAAGCCACGGTAGCAACGGAACTGGGGGAAAGTATACATAAAAGAACAGTTCTTTTCTATTTTATTAGTATTAGTTAGTGATCTCGACTCAGTGAGTCCTTTTTTCCGTGATGAACTGGGAGGAAGTACCAAAGGTGAAAAAGTACAATAGGGCTCGGGTTTTCAACTTTGGTCTATTTAAAATTTGATAAATTATATAGCTACAATATAAATAAATATATAAATAAATATATATATATATATATATATATATATATATATATATATATATATATACGTTCACACACACACACATATATATAAAATAACTAAATCCTAATATTTAAAAAAAATTGGAACTTTTTAATTTACCCAATAATAAAATTGTAAAATTCTCATATAATTGAAATGGGCTTTGAGATGATGAGAAGGCCCAGCCCAATAAGGAAATATTTAGAAATATATAAAAATGACTTAAATCAGAAATTGTCAAATGCAAAGACGTGTAAAGTTGTGATTCGACCTCCCAGCTATATTTAACCGACCGATTCATTTCCATTGACCAAAGGTCTAGTTCGTTCCCAATTCCGCCACGATTTCCGTTTGATCCTCCCAAAATTATCCGATCCGCCTCCGCTGCCTCTGCAACCCGGCCGATCTTTTAGGGATCGGATGAATTCCGGCTCATCCTTTTAACTTGAACGATTACAGGTTCTCGTGCTCTAATCTTTGTTTTGTATTTGCACGTTACGATTTTTTTCCTCCTTTGCTCCGTTTTCTTCCCTTCTTGGCTTGCAAATCTGAGGTTTTGTTAGACCCTACGCTAATTAGGTTTCGAAGAGCATTTCAATATGCCTTCGGTGCCTATTGATCTCCTCCTTGGCTCTCTGCTTCCTTCTTTGACTTCTTTCCATGGTGGTTCCTCGTCGCATCGTCTGAAGCGGCTTGAAAAGGGTGATCGACGTGGTAATCTTAGTTAACACGGTGTTCTTTTAGCGCATTTCGTTCTCTATTCGTATTTGCAGTCTTCTATTTTCTCCTTCTTTTGTCCGTTCGACGTTTTTGGAATTCCTTGAGAAATTACACTCGTAAGGTGTAGGAGTTTCTTTTTTGATCTTGAGATCTTTAGGCGGAAGCCTCTGAAATCGAGTTCCTGGGAATTTGGCTCCTCGTTAGGAGGGTTTTTGCAATCCTGATTCTTGTGCAAGGTATTGTGCTATAATCTTTTTATATTCTTGAGATCTTGAAGTTGCTCCGTGCTTTTTTGTAAGCACCTGGATCGAGTTTCTTTCGGGATTCTTTTATGATATCCTGGATATATATGCAGGTTCTAGCAGATTTGTTGTGCACTACATAAGCCTGAATGGACATTTCTTCCATTCATCAGAAGTTGGCTCTCCTAGACGTAGACGATTTGGATGATCTGCAATCATCTTTGCGAGAAATTGATGCTGCATTGTTTAATGATCGTGACGACGGAACTTATAAGAAATCTCTGATCACTGAAGATACTAAAAGTTCAGAGTGCGATGATAATTCAAATGATAGAAACAAACAAAAAGAGCTTGAACCTCCCGAGAACAACTCATCTAAGAAGTGGTTAGGCAAATCCAAGTCCTTTCCTCTTCCTCCTGCATCATCCTCTCCTAATGATTCTGCAGACAATGATAAGAAACCACAAACAGCAATCGGTGATGCGTCCTCTAATGAGTCTATGCATCAAGCCTTTGCACGATCCATATCTTTACCAGTAAGTTTTCTTGTCGTCAAGACTAAGATGGAAAGGATTGCGGTTAGGTAGCTTTGACATTATTGTTGCTTTATCGATTATTCCCTTTTGGTCATTACAAACCATCAAATATCATAATCATCATTACTTTAGTTCGTGTCAAAAGGCAATTTGGAGCGGGGAGTGGAACCTTCAAGGATAAGCTTTCCCATTCTTCCTTAGAGCTGTTATTCTTGCACCTTGAGAGCAAGTTTCGTGCCATCGATCGTGACCATGTTTTTCTACTTTATTTCCAGACCATCTCATCATACCCTAGAAATGATTGATTGTGCCATTGTGCTTCTGCCTGACTGAAGCATGTGTAGATTTGAGTTTGTTATTGACAGATTTGAATTTTCTGACAGATTTGAGTTTGTTGTAGGATTTAAAGCTTGCTATTGACAAAACGAGCGCATAATTTTTAGAGCTTGCATGTGGGTTTATTTTCCTTTCACGACTCTTTATCTTTCTGTTTACTTACTTAAATTCCAATGTTCAGTCTTCTGTGAAGCTCGTCTCTGCAATGAAAGGTAGCCGAGCACAACACCGTGGTCAGTCTCCGAAGCTGTCTGTGAAATGGGCTCCTGATGTGTACGATCCGCCACAGACATCTTTGTCCCATTGTGTAAAAAACAACAAGAAACAGCAGAAATCTAAGAACAGGAAGAATGGAAAGAAAGGGCAGAAGGGAAGTAGCAGCAACTCTTCTTCGCGTGGAAGGGACAAAAGGCAGGCTCGTAAAGCTGTTAGTAGTTCTGATCGGTATCAAAGATCATTCGACTCTCACGTAAGTTTCGTTAGTACTCTCAACGATTTTGACGGGTTCGATGATGGGAGCTCAGACTCTCACTGTGGAAGCATCTTCCTGAAAACATCGGTCACCAAGCTGCACCACTATGTTGCTGAAGCCTTGTGAGCGTCACTCGTCCCAAGTTTTCACTCTCTCAACAGTTACGGTAAATAAATAATAATAATAATAATAATAATAATGTTGTTTTGGGTTCTTTTGTGATTGTTTGACTTTAACTCGTTTGGTGTGTGTTCTTATGAGGATTAATAGACTGGTTGTGATATCGTTGAAACTTCGTTTATATGATATGTTCGTGCCTATGTAAATGTTAAGTGATCGTTTTTCTAACAAATATTTGTTATCCCCCCAAGTGACTCAACAGCATGCATATAGACTGTAAGAAATGTACGAGTCGGGTGAGTCGGGTGAGTCGGTGGATTTTCTTTACTGTGATGGGCTTGGCCCAAAATCGGTTTTAATCCTGGCCCAGAACCAAACGTTCTTTGGGCTAAATCTTGGGCTTTCTTAGGCCCATGAATTGAGGATGGAAACCAGAATTTGAGTCAACATCCTTTCTACCTTCATAGACAAATATTATTATTTTTAAACATATTTCCTTTTTATTTCTTCTGAAATTAATTTTAAATTTAAAGTATCAAGTTACTTAACCTATAACAAATTTATAATACTCGCCGCCCAAAACAAAATTAAAAATTATAACAAACTAATAAAAAAATATTAACATTATTACTGATCAATTTCGTTAATAATTAATAAAAATTACAAATTTTATCAAGATAAATATATACTCGTCTATAATAAATTTCTAACTCATTCAAAATTTTAAAAATTATATCTATTAAATATAAAATTAAATTTTATGTTCTAACAAAATCCTAAGTTTTTTAGTTCATAGATTCATAACTTTTAAATAATCTAATATTATAGACAAATTTTATGACACTTGATTAAATAAATATATAAATAAACCAAGACTATGTTTGAATAAGAGTGTCCTATTGATTGCTAGCAAAGAGTGTTCTATATATTGATTGCTAGCAGCAGCCCAAGTAGCAGATGTGTCTTGCTTCATTCTCTAGCTAATAAAAATCCCACAATAATGCTTAATATATACATATTATATAATACTAGAATACTAGAATAATTCACAATTAGAATGCAAGAATGAAAAATCTGAAATATTATCAGAACAGGCAACAGGCAATTTCAGGCTTTCTTTGTATTATTATATTTTACACTTTGGAAGAACTACATGAAACATTATCAAAAGTTGGGTAAGGCAACTAAAAAAATAAGGTGAGATCTCCAGCATGCATAATAAAAGGTCAGCATGCAATTTTATTATTTTCTCTTCTTTTTTTTTCCCCCCCCCCCTTTTTCACTCGCTTCCCTCACCATATTAGTTGAACTATCTAATTTCTAGTTTGTACAAACAGAACAGCCTTTCCAAGAGATTGTTCAAACCAAAACTCAGCACCAATTATACAGCATAACTACTGATCGCTATGTAGGATTTAAAAGGAGACAAAGAATGAAATAAAATATAATTCCAATTTTCCTTCCTACTTGGGTTATTTCAATATGGCTCGACTTGCACACCGATGATCATTACATCATTCATCATCATGTTGACCGCCGCACCACCACCTTCTCTAGCATCGATGTCCCATTGAAGATCGTCAGCTGGACCTCCCTCATATACTTCGCCAACTGCCCAATCATAGACAAACAAAATTAGAAACGCTTCAACAGATAGCTTATTTGCTGTTCATTAGGGTTGAAGTGATTTGAGTTTCTGGGGATATTACTTGTTCTTCACTCATCTTTCTGAAACCCAATTTATTGGTCCAGATTGATTCAGCATCCTCGGCTGCAGGGAGTACAAGGTTTTGCACATTTAGGGAAGAAAGTAGCCGCTCTATACAGGAAAACAATACTTGGAAGTAACCCTGCCCCCAAAAAAGGAAGGAAAAAAAATAGTCAAACAAAGAAAGCGGAGATGAAATCCACAATTCAAAACAACATCTAAGACCAACTTGAGCCTGGTCAATATATATATTATTTCGTGAGAATTTAAAATAACCATTCATCTCAACATGTTGAAAAGAAAGAAAAAAAAGAAAAAAAAAAACCCTCAAGCACCTACCTTGCCCTGATGTTCTCTACTTGTGGCAACAATAGGAAGCTCAGCAACTTCGCGGCCAAAGATCCTAAGAAGACCAGCCGATACAACTATAGACCTGCGAAGCAGAAGACGACCACGGAATGTGAGGGAAACAACATATGAAAAAAAAAAAAAAAAAAAATAGAACACCAAAGACATATCTTCGTACCTCACAATTAAAACAACACAAAACATTCCTCCGAACTCTTGTCCAGATATATTTCTCCTGCGGTGAGTCACAATGTATCAAACATCTAATCATATAAATAAATAAACAGACAAGAGATAAACCAGTTAATGAGCAATATAGGGTATGAACTCATGACCCTAGAGTCCTTCCTCATCATTTTAACAAACCAAATAATATTACAGTGGCATGGGGAACATGACCATGTTGTCTTGAACAGTTCCACCAAAATTTATCAATTGAAGAACAAGCCTACAAAGGATATATCACTTGCCAAAAGGAGAGAATAGCCAGATGTAACATTTATCTTACCCATAAACCATAACGGGTATCAAATCACGACCTGATTTTGCAACAATAGGATCAAAACATTCCTGTGAAGGAAATATTAAATGCGATTAGAAAACTAGATTTAACTACTTCAATCAACCCGAAAGAGTTAACTCAAAAATCCAAACAATATTGAAGGGAATTTGTGAAACCCATATTAGTGTGGAATTTATGTATATTTGGATTGCGGAAAGGAACGGATTTAAAATTTTCAAATTTGTAAAGACTGGATATGAAATTTGAATAGGAGATTAAGAAGAAGAATTGCTGGAGTATCAAATAAATATGGAGAAACATACCCGAAAAATAGAAGTCGCCCTTGAAAGAAATGGAAGATCTTCTGGGTTGCGACTTTTTCCACTTAAAATTTGCCACCGAACATCATTAAGAGCTTCATCAACAAATAATCCTTTTCCAACGTGCTTTCTGATTATTAAATCTGATAATGGATCTGGAATAATTTGTGCCCCGTTCAAAACTGTATTCTGAAGGACCACATGGATATTACTGCACTCATCACAGCAGAACCACTTATCCTTGGGGAGTTCCTACAGGAAGATTAGGTTCCACTAAGTAGCATCCTAACATTATTTAAAATTAAAAAGCTACTAATTTGCTTGTTAGCATACCTGCAGATCACATAATCCACTATCCCGCAGACAGCCCACATGGAATTCTCTTTCACACTGAATAAGAAGAGAAAATTAGACGACGTAAAAGTAAAAGTAATGTAGGAAACATTCAAATGAAATTGACATGGTGTTCATACTTGATCACATAACAGTACAGTTCGATCATCAAATTTAGCAGCGCTGAAATCATGTCGCCTACAAGATTAGAAGTATTAGCAGAGTTAAGGATCATATAAATCATGAACGTAAAAGATAATGAGATATGAAATTTCCTTCTTAAAATAATGTAACGAGTAAAAAGAAAAGCCTTGGGTTTATCCTGAAACAATCAATCACATATGTTAGCCTTTCAGTTTGCTGATATCCCACCGTCACCCATCTCTAGCTAACAAAGGAAACAACACACCTAGAAAGTTACTAAACTCTAACCAACTTATTAAATCTACAAGTGCAAATGGTAAATATTGTCTTAAAAACAACAAAAGTAAGAAAATTTGTATCTTCTCAGCTATAGAAAAATAAATAAATGAAAAAGGGCTAAAAGGATGAATGGGAGGTCAACAGTCAACTTTTTATAAAAGTTCAAATATATATATATACATATAGTCCCTTCCTAAAACAAGTTCTTTAAAAATTAATAAAATTTATTACCCTAGACGCCACGATTAAAGGTGTCAGTAACATTCTCCTCAACTAACTCAGAACCAATAACTTCCTAAAAGAGAAGCCGTTTTAAAGAGAATGGGAGAAAAATAAGTAACTACCTGCAAACAACACAACCACCAATCTCATACTCAGGTGCTTTAACAACTCGTGTCAACCTAAATACAATTGGTTTTGGAAAACTCGAAGGGCCTCCGGAAGCTGCCTTCAAACTGGAACCCACTTTATCTCTACAGTTTGGGCAACACCAAACACCTTCTGGGACATTCTGTAGATGCAGGCACCCTGGAAAGAACAAGCTTTAGGAGTGCAGAACTAATATCCAATTTTAAAAATAAGCAAGACATATTTCAACGAAATTAGTAACGTGAGAAAGTCAAAATAAACACAGCCACTGGCCGGAGAGGGGGGAAAATGATAATGCTAAGCCAATCCATGGACACAAACTGAAATCCATACTGCAGGCATATTACATTATTTTGGAAGCAGTTTTGAATAAACATAAAACTACAAATAATCAACCTGAGGAGATCTTCATTTAAGACATGATATCCATCCACCCACGCACCCACCCCACCCCCCCCCCCCCCCCCNAGAAGATTCACCTGTATGGAAAGCGCGAGGGCATCGATCACAGAAAATCAAATCACCTCCATTACCACATGCAGCACACATATCATCACTGTCTCCTGATGAAAGTTTTTGCCCACTAGCCAGGGAAATGGCAATATCATGAAGTGTAAGACCATTTGTAGTATAAATGTGACGGTAGCTGCATTCCATTGATGAACCTTTTTTTAGTATGACAATCTAGCAGCACTCAAAGATTATATAAACTGTACTTACGGTTGACGTCTGGCAGCCATCCCTGCATGGGCTTCGAACTGGGAAGGGCTAATCTGTTTTAAATTTGAGAATGGTTTAGAAATAGATCAATACAGTAGAAAAGGTCGGGTTACTCTAGTAATAAATATTACAGCACCTCACCTCGCGATTACAGTGACTACAGAGTATACCATTTCCTTGCTTGTAGCCTCCAAGTATTCTCTTTGGATAGTAGGGGAAATGGAAAGGAAAAAGGTCAGATCAACCAAGAAACTTTTCATCACATACATACGTCAGCTAAGTTCTTATTTACCTGTCCTTTGACAAAGTAAGCTAGCTCAGCCCCATCAGGAAGCCCATTTGGCATGAAAAGTAGCCTGTGAAGATCATTGTCCCTGCAAATATAGGGGGAAGAAAACTATTAATGCATTTTTTTAAAAAAAAAGTATATAGAAATTGCGTTCTTTATTTTAATATATAAAAAAAAAATAGAAAATGTACTTGTAATTCTAATAACCAATAAGAGAAAAAATACCTTCTTTTTGTGCCTTTCTCTGCCGATTTCTTCTGTTGCATGACTGGGTTGGATAAATTAGGGTTTGGTCTGCATAAAAACGAGGGTCTTACTACTACCAAAGCACAATATCAGTCATTTAAATGCAAACTAAAGATGTCTTAAGCACACAGTGTCATAACCATACTATAAGACCATGGCACACAGCAGCCAGTAATTTCAAAATTCTAATAATTATCAGAGAAGTTGACAAACCCAAAACAACGCTAACTTGTAGCTTCAGGCTTTTAATGCAATACCAAGAAGCAAAATGCTACAAGGTCAGTGATAAAATATATATTGATCTAAATAGAGACTGTAGCTGATAGAAAAAGGTCACGCACTTCCTTCATTTCAAGAAAATTTTAGCACAAAATATGTCTAAACCATTCAAGGGTATTTACTTGGGTATGGTAGTAAGGTTGATATAATAACCCAAAAGCTCAGGGAATTTCTTTAAAAATTCTTTGCCCTTGAAACCCTAGAACCAAAGAGAAACTAAATCTTAGACAACTTAAGTCTTCGAATAAAAGAGGCACTACTATACGTTTTATCTCACTGGCAACTGAAAAAAATATATTGAGTAACAAAAATGTGCAATGGCAATTGTTTGATGCAAGACGGTGAAGAGGATATACATAAGGAAGTTTTATCAACAAATTTAGAAAAGGGTTATCAAGTTTGTTAAGGATATTTAGTAATAAATTATAGTTTACCATATATATTATATTTGATATTTTATTATAAGGCAAATATCTAATATTTGCCTTATTATCATAGATATCTTTCCATTTATTGTTATTTCTATTTATTACTATTTTCATATCCTTGTAATTCATTTGATTATAAATAAGATAACTTTCACACCATTTAGGTGTGGTGGATTAATCAAACATTCACATGTATCAGAGCCCTCTCGGTTTAACAACCCCGATCTTTTCTTTTCAATGGCTTTTGAATCCTCTAATCTTCTTCTCCACCACCCCTGCTGGCTTTGACGCCTCAGGGGCAGTCTTCATGGCTGCCGCAGGCGGAGCCGATTGATTACTCTTCGGCTCCACCCTATTGACCTCCAAATCACCTTTCGTCATACTCTGTACATACAACCTCACCTTTTCCAACCCAATCGGTTTTTCCCCTTGGCCAATATAGTCTCTCTCATTTTCTTCCCAATCAACCTTCATCCTTCACATAAACCTTAACCTAAACCTATCAACTTTTTGCAGAGATTTACCTTCGGAATTTGGGTGCCGCACTGGCCTATTCGCCAACCAAGTTGCCGCCGCCCTTCCTGCCAAAATTAGCTTATTCGCCCGATGAGGCGACTCTTCCGACTGCCCTTCTCGCCAAAATTGGCTTATTCGCCCGATGAGGCGACTCTTCCGACTGCCCTTCTCGCCAAAATTGGCTCATTCGCCCAATGTGGCGACTCTTCGGCTTCAACATTGTCTTTGTCCCTTGCTCTAGGTTTTCCCTTCTACTTCTTGGGGTTAGAAATATTCTCACCAGAGCCAAGGCAGCATCGTCGCTAAGCGACAATCCCTCTTCATGGGTTAGATAGATTCTCGCCGAAGCCAAGGCAGCATCGCCGCTGAGCGGCGATCCCTTTGCAATTTTTGATGGCCAAGAACCGGGTTGTTAGCATCTTCATGAAAAGTGCTTCTCAAACTCTTTGAATTTTTCAGATTCAAGCTTCACGTTCGTTTAAATCCGACGCTTAGCTTGCGGTGGGGTGTTAAGGATATTTAGTAATAAATTATAGTTTACCATATATATTATATTTGATATTTTATTATAAGGCAAATATCTAATATTTGCCTTATTATCATAGATATCTTTCCATTTATTGTTATTTCTATTTATTACTATTTTCATATCCTTGTAATTCATTTGATTATAAATAAGATAACTTTCACACCATTTAGGTGTGGTGGATTAATCAAACATTCACATTCATTTGATTATAAATAAGATAACTTTCACACCATTTAGGTGTGGTGGATTAATCAAACATTCACAAAGTTATTAGCTTATACCTCTCAATGGGATGTGACAATTTCGGAAGCTTCACATTATCATTTTCCACTTCAATACCTGTACTGTCCTTGTGGAAACTTGCTGCAGAACAGTAAAGTGTCAATAACAAAGAGAGCCATTCCTTCATTTCCAGAGGAAGCAAACTAATTACTTATTCAGAACTTAGTCTCGTACTTAATTGTTAATGCCAAAGGATCAGATAAAGGCAGCTCTAATCCTGAATATTCAGGCTCGAATGAAGCAAACTAGCACATTTAGCTAAGAGGCATGTAAACAATTTATCTATTTTCTTAGCTTTTATCATCCAAAAAAATAAACAAAAGATAAGCACCTCAATTAACTTCCAGAAACGAGAGTAAGATTTCATAATAAAAATCAGAAACATCAATACCTTGCCAAGCCTCAAATGAATCCATGTTAACAGATGAACCGGCTACTTCCTTAATCACTTCATCTAAAATGCTAAGAGGTGCACTCTTAATTTCCTGTATAACACTATAAATCGGCCTCCCATTCTCCAAGTATATATGATTATTTGGATGTCTAGTTTTGAAACCAGCATGCTGCTCAAACTCATAAGCACTGAGAATCTATTCAAAAATTCCATATTAATTATATCGTCACAATAAGGAAGTCCGGAAATCATGTAAAAAAATTGCTTCATACTTACAGTTGTAAAATTGCATATTGAACATCCGCACATATAACCTCCGCCGTTTATGATACCATCTAGCTTTATCTGACAGCAAAATGAAAATAAAATTAAATAAAAAATACGGACGTGAAGAAAATAGCATTAGGGCACTAACCACGTAGTCGGAAAAATAACAAATACCTCACTTGTCGTAGATATATACTTGACGCGAGCTCCGTCAAGTATACCAGTCGACAGCAGCTTTTTCACATTTGACGGGTAATTGTTTGGCAAAACCTTCTTCGACATTTTCAGTTCCATTTTACTGGGGCCTGGGGGAAACCTGCTGCTCTCAGCACAGCCTTCCCAGCTATGTGCAGATGTCTCCGTATAAGCATCGTCAACCGAGGATGGTTCTGGTTTACAGTCCTTGTCAGAGTTTCCATAAGAATGAATTTTGTCAGCTGACCTGGATGCGTCATTGTTGTCCTTTTTTTTGCTGAATTTGAACGTAATTTTCTTAATTCCGGTTGAACTAGCATGCTTAGGAATTTCAATCACAACCCGGGAGACTTCATCATCATCACACACATCAACATCATTCCGAGACGTGTTGTTCTGGCAACGAATTCCATCGCTTGAAGTATCCTCTGAGCTTGAATTTCCCGAACAAGCCGACGTAAGGTCCCCACGTTCAACTTGGTTGGTATTTTCTTGCTCGTCTGGCTGACTTGTAATATCTTGGAAATGATTCCCTTTCGGGGAAATTACAGGATTAGAAACTTCTGAACGAACGTCTTCATTCGACACTTCTTTTGCCTGCTTCTTATTGTGAAACGACTCAGGTTCCGTATCTTCATCTAGATACTGATGGTCACGCTTCAATTCGGTACTCGAAGCGCTCTCTTTCTCCAGCGGCTTATTTGCAACTGCAGCCAAACCAGCTGCTTCTTCTCCCATCCAATATATATTCTTCCAAGTCGGTAGAGCCAGTAGTTAAAAATACCGCAAACCGAATCGGCAGCATCCAAAAAGCCCACACAGAGTGGAAATGAAAATCCAGATTCACGTAGACTAAAATTCCTAAGAGCCTGAGATTTTGAATGCTAAACTTCAAGAAAACCTGAACTATACCAAACGAAGAGGATATCATTAAAAAAGAAAACTCCATTAATTCCTAAAATTAACCGCCAACGGTTATCATAAAAACAAAAACGGAGAGTTCACACGTAAAATTCAAGAAATCTAACCTCGACGCCATTCTTGAAACCTGTATAGCAAGAATCCGATCAGAAAAACTCGGAATCAAAACAAAAAACCAATAAAATCCAATCCAGTAACACCAGAGCCACCGATTGAATTTCCAACAACTACGATCTGAGATCTGCCTATTGTCCGCAACAGATTTCAGGTCTCGTAACAGTCGAATCAGAATCGAAATAAACAAAAAGCGGATTGGTTAGGGCTAGGGTTTTGTCCGCGAAAACCTGAAAGAATAAGAAAAAAACGAGAGGGAAGAAGCAGAGCGGCAAAAAAAAACTAAAATGAGAAGGCTTTTGGTTCGCGGTCAAGATTTAGCTTTGTAAGAGATAGAGATAGAAATAAAAACAAAGCTCCCGTAAGAGAAAAAAATGAATAAATAAATAAATAAAACAAATATTCATTTATTTTTAAAAGAAACAACAAAAAATAGTAAAGTTCGTCGCGTTTCACGATCCCCAGAGAGAAACGATATGACAGTTGGAAAAGCCCATCGGGTCTACTTTTTTAATCCAATAAGAAACTACCACGTGTTACTACTGCGCCAGCTAGTATGCTTACGTGGCAAGCTTTTTGTAAATAGGCCGACCTTATTGGACCGAGCCCACCTGGACTCCGGATTCTATTGGACCAAGGCTAAAGGATTATTAACCCGACTATCCCATAAAATTAAATTTTAATTTTATATATTATTAGTCTCAAAATTTTTAAATTTTTTTAATAAACGTCTGAATTTTTTAAATAGAGGAAGATTTAATTTCTTTTTATATTAAAAAAAAAAACTTAATTATTCGTTAAGGTTCAGATTTATTAGACCATTTTAAAAATTAAAAAATAAAAATCTATATCTTAAATCTCTTCCTATTATTATTTCCCCATTATATACTTGAATTAAAATAAAATAAAATAAAATAATGATTCGAAATAAACATGGTCTAGTTATAATTGTGTGGGTGAATAAATTTGCCGCCGTAAATAATAAAAAAAAAGTTATCTAAAAAGGTAACCTAACTCTAACCCAACGGAATTAATAAATTACGGGTATCTTTAATAATGCGTGGGATTCAAAACCTTATCCAAACAAACATGTGTGTTCGTTCCGTTCATTAAATTGCATTGCTACAATAACACTATTTGGTGCATGAATCATAGGGGCAGTTTTGAACTTTCCCCTCATCGTTTATGTAATTTAATATAGTTTCAATATGAAATTAAAATTTTAAACTTTTAAATCTACATAATTTAGAAATACAACAATATATTTATAAATATGGAATATTCTCGTATTATACCGACATATTATTTAAGAACAAAACCATCTAAAATTATAAGAGATTTGAATTCGTTATACAATAATAATAAAAATTATAATAATTGAGTTTAAATTATTATTTTATTTTGTTTAAGAACCGCGTATATTAAAAATGGAACCATAATGTAAAAAATTATTGAAAGAGGAAATATGTAATTTAAGTTAATAATTAAATGTATATAAAGACCGGTCAACTCTACGGTTACGCCCGCGACTCTCACTATTTCTCTGTTCTTCTCTCTTTCTTTTCCCAAATCCACGCTTTCAATTCTCAAATCTCTCCCGGAAAATGTCGCAGCGATCGGGCAGGCACCAGAGGAGGCCTTCGCAGGGCGTTTTCATGACCGCCGATTACCTTTCCGAACCGCCTCCGCCGACCGGACCGCCCTTGGCGGTTGAATCTGTCGATCCACAATCGAGTTTCCTGTCTCGGCCGCCGCAGCAGAGCCGCTACGCTGATCCGCCGGCGGCAAGGCCTCCTGCTCCAGCGGCATCGAATGAAGCTCCAAATCCGACGAGCTAGCGGATTCGACGCGTCGTTTTGTTCGATCCGAAGATGAAGATGAAGATGAAGTGTGTTCGATTTCGATCTGTCGTTTCGTTTCGTTTTTCAATTTTTTTGGTAAGATTTGGTTTAGTTGTTGTGCATGGAATATTGTCTCACAGAAATTGTTGGGAAATTTGCAGTTAAATCTTAATTTATTTTTATTTTAAGCTTTCAATTTAATCGAAGAAGTATATTAATTAAATGTTTATTTTCAAGTTATTATTTGTAATTAATTTTTTTTTCTTCACATTTTCATTCCATAAAAGAAAAAAAAAAAAATATATTTTTCCTATAAGAAAAAATGAATTTTTGAAGTATATGAGATCTATTCTGCTCGACGATCGTAGATTTATTTTGTATTTTTATTTCAACACTTTTTAATACGATGATGCGTATAAATACGACAATTTAAATCAAAATTTGCTATTTAGTGACGTTATTATTAAGAATTAATATGGTGCAAGTGGAAATGCTTAAGAGTATTTAAGGTTAATCAAACTATATACTAAATACTAGACATTTGTATTTTTTATATAAAGCACACATGTATGTGATAAATTACAATCGTGCCATTTAATTAATCACCCCCACATGCACTAATTTTATTGAACATATAACTAAAAAATAATGGAACCTAGTAAAAGTCAACCCTCGGTCATTTAACTATTACCAACATGTAGGTCGGCTTGGTTAAGTTATGCAAATTTCGTGGACCAATTCGAAATTTTAGACCGATCGATTCTCCAATCAAACCAATACGACGAGGTTGGCATCCCAACCCAACTGAATCGTGATTTTATTAGAGTTAAGTTGAGTTGAGTTTATCAGGTAGATGAATAAAACGTGCATTAGCACTGTATTAATGTTGAGTACTGGACTGCCGATTGAAAACCCTAAAAATAAGAAACGATCTACGAGACAAATGACTGACAACAAAGATGAATGACGAGTAGTGTCGAAAATGAATAACAAAATGTAATAAATAAGGCAAACAATTTGAAGATGAATTGAACATCGAGTAACGATGAATATGAGCGACATGACAAACAACACGGATTCAAATATTTTTAGTAAATATGAAATTTATTACGAGAAAATACACGGGTTCCAATAAATCATATGTAAAAAATAATTATGAAACATAACTTAAATAATCATTATCAATTTATTAGATGGGCTAAAAAATAAAACTATATAATATATATATTTATATTATAGAAAATGAGATGCTTAATCATGTGACACAACAATTAGAAAAATGTGAGCAAAGGGAAGGATGTGCTTTTTATTTATTTATCATATTTAAAAAGGAAAAGAAAAAAGGAATTGCGTTAGATCGACGCAGTGGAAGGAATCTCGAGAAAGGGAGATAGCCAATTATTTTATCCCATTTCAAAATTTAAATAAATTTGTAATAAATAATAATTAATTACTTCAACTAAAGAGCAGCGTGGAGCCCACCGCCGCCGAGCCGCTCGCCGTATCTACGAGCTAGCCTCGCTCTACTTTACTACGCCTTGTTTTATTTCTTTATTTGTTTATAAATATTCAAATATTATTTTATTTGGGATCTTTTTAATTGTTGTCGAACATTTTTGTAATAAGACAAGAATGGGGATAATAATTTTATTTATAAGATAAATTTTAAATAATAATATAAAATTAAAATATTTATTAAATATAAAATTAAAACTGGAGTGAATTATTTATTATTTAATTTATAAATTTATTGACCTAAAGCTTATCCAAAACGAGAAGGAAAAAAATTGGTTGTCGATAATAATTTAATTATTTGTTTAATATTAAATATTTTATTACAAGTCAAATTAAGTTTGACTTAGATTAAAAAAACAAAGGGGAATAATAAATTTAAAATAAAAGATAATAAGGTTAATTGAAGCCGGCTTATACCGAGCCGCGGCGTAGCCAGAGGAACTGCCCCACGCTTAATGTACACGTGGCGAATGTTAGTTGGTTAGTCAGCATCTCATCGGCAACTCTCACATGTAAATCACCCCCACGAAAGCGGTGCTCCGGAGCAGTACCCGGAAAAAAAAATTCACTATAAAAGCCTCTCTAGATTTTCACTCATTTCTGAACCGCGTTCTTCTTCATCTTCTTCATCGGAGCTTCGTTCTTTCTCCTCTCAAAATGGCGAGTCCTCTGAAATTTTACAGACTCTGTTCTCTTTCATGGTTTGATGATCTGTTTAGTTCTTGAGAATGTTCGATTGCATTTCTAGTTTGCCTCTTTTGAAAATTACTGCACTCTAAGTTTCTTGCGTGTATTTCTGAAATTAAACGTGTGTGGAAGCTTTGAAGCTATGTTTTTAGATTTGAAGTTTTGATTTGCATGCAGTTTCATCGGCGATCCGACTTGAATTCTTCTGTGATTTTTTCAACTAAACGAAATGTTGTTTTCTGTAATTTATTATAAAATTTGAGTGATCGAGTGGCCGTGGATCTACAATGATTTGATCACTGTTTTTGTTACTGTACTTAAATTTTGTTACATTGAAATTTCTGTCAAGGCTTGCAGTTATAAGTTATATTAGTGTATTTCCCCTTTTTGAGTTGCTATTAATCACCCCGTGCATGTCGTTAATGAAGTGAAAACTCTGTGAAGTTGTGATGTCTACAAGGTGTTGGATGGAAGTCCATCCTCGCCTAATTCCCATAGGGAATGATCATGAGTTTATAATCAAGAAATACTATCCCCATTGGTTTGAGGTCTTTTAGGGAGCTCAAAGCAAATCCATGAGAGCTTATGCTCAAAGTGGACAATATCATACAATTGTGGAGATCCATGATTCCTAACACAAGGGATCCATATTTTGGTTATGCCTTTGTTTTAAATTTTGGTGGAAATCAATATCAGGATATGGATAAAAGCTTGTGGGGGAAAATCTTATACTGCCCATATTCCTATGTTGCGCTATCATCTTATTTTGACTAAATATGACCAGATGATGATGTCTAAGGTGAAGATATCTGATTTAGCATGAGATGTTAGATAATTAGTCTATTTTAGTTAACATTAATTTTGCCATTAATTTTTTTCATCAATTAGTACCTTTTATTTTAGATTTAACTCGTTGTTTTTATTAATTTTATTGTAGAGCGATAAACAGACCCATTTAGAATTATAAAGGGGCTTTGGAATATTATTTTGAAATAGAACTTTTCTCTTACAGAGTGTTTTTTCAAGTTTTGGAATGGATTTGGCCTAATCACAAATCTGTTTGCATCACTATCAGGGGAGAAGCAAAACAATTTTTGAAATTTTGCGAAATATTATCAGATCAGAAAAATTCTCTATGTTCTGCCTTTCCAGTGTTTAGATTGAACACTATTTACCTCGTTGATTTGCTTTGCAGCCATTGGTTTTATAGATGTGTTATCAAGAACGTTTTAGTTTCCAATTTTGTTATGCCTTTTGAGCTTTTTCGTGCCTCTCTTCTGGATTTTGAAATTATATTAAGCAGTTTCCTTCTGCATTACATAGGCCAATGCAGCATCGGGAATGGCTGTGAATGATGATTGCAAACTGAAGTTTTTGGCGCTCAAAGCCAAAAGAACATATCGCTTTATTGTGTTTAAGATTGAGGAGAAGCAAAAGCAAGTTGTAGTAGAGAAAGTTGGCGAGCCAACTCAAAGTTATGAGGACTTTGCTGCAAGCCTTCCTTCGGATGAATGTCGTTACGCTGTCTATGATTTTGACTTTGTTACTGAAGAGAACTGTCAAAAGAGCAGGATCTTCTTCATTGCCTGGTATAGCGAAGATCTCCTTTACTGCATTCCTTTCATGTTTTTCCTTTCAATTATCCCGCCCATAAGAAAACACCATTGATTATAGGTCCCCTGATAATTCAAGAGTCAGAAGCAAGATGATATATGCCAGCTCCAAAGATAGATTCAAGAGAGAGCTGGATGGATTCCAGGTTGAGCTGCAAGCAACTGACCCAACCGAGATGGGTCTTGATGTCATCCGAAGCCGAGCTGGGTGAATGCTACATTCTGGTTTTCATAACCCGATTTGGCTAAAATGGTATCAATTTCCCTGCACATCTTCTTTTCAAGGTTGAACAAGCGTCCTGGTCCTGGTCCTGGTTTTATGGTATATGTTTCAGATTTATGTTCTAAATGGCCTTTTGTACGTGTTCGAGCTAATGCACCTCCTCGTCGGTTCTCAACACACACACACACACACACACACACATATATAACATGCACAATTTTACCCTTAGGAGAGAGATTGCAGCAAGATTTTATCGGATTCCAGCTGCTATTCTGCATGTACTCCATAGATTAATATACAAGGGGATTGAATATTTGCATTTGATCGATCTTAATGCAATTTGGCTGTCTGTTTTTCTTCAGTAGCGCTAAAGTATTTATTTGCTTGGATTGGAATCACCCCACATTGTTAGATGTATGTATATATATGCACATGACTGTTCTATCTGTTCTCTTCCTCTCATATGTTTGCTTTTCTGAGTTTAACCATTTGGATAGAGAAATCACTCTTTTCAAGATTATAATGTCTTGTCACAGACATATATGTGCCTAGATTCATGTCATTGATTTGTTAGAAATCTGTTCTTTTGCCAGATTTCTGTCAAAACTGTTCATATTCTTAGCCAACCAATGTTGTGTTAAAATGCATTTCTTCCATATACATTGGAGAGTGAAAGTGTTCTTAGCCTTAGTTCATCATGAGCCATATAGACAGACTTCAACCCAGTTGGGTAGGCTATGCCCAAGCTGGTGCATGGACTTTGGGTTGGTGGGCTATAGAAATTGGGTCTTACCCATTAGCCCAAGGGGGAAAAATAGAGGCTAATTCTAGAAGATAAAGGTAACTTAGTTAATGGATTGAATATCACTATCAAATAATATGAATGGAATGATAACACCAATACTACGGCCTTCCAAGGCCCACAACACCACCATCCTTAAAAACAAAAACTATCGACTAAAATATAATATTTATATATATTTTCCTAACAACCAAATTATTTAATCTCTCTTAATTCTTTATAAAGTTCAGCTTCCTCATGACTTCGTTTCATACTTTGTAGGATGAATTTATTAAGTTCTTGCTGAAGTCCCACAGTCTCTTTGCAAGTGTTTCGTCTCTAGCGTATGAGCTTGCTCGCTTCTCGTTGCAGTCCAAAAAGTATTTCCCGCTCACTCCCTTCAAGCTCGGGTGGAGTGCCACATAGCACGTTGTCGCTGCCCCCTAAAAAAAATTAACATCGATGCCTTATTAGTGAACTATCTTAATTTTTTAGACTAGTAAAGTGGATATTTGAATATTTGAACAGTTGAACATACTATTTGTAATATATATTTCAAAAAACTAATCAAAACAATAATAATAACATTAAGTTGCTTTAATTTACCTGAGGAACATTCTTCCAGATAAAGAAGGAGAAAGCCTGCAAAAGCCCTACAAAGAGAGAGAGAGAGAGAGAGAGATGATAAATTACGATATGTCGTAAAATGAAATAAATAATAAGAAGATAAAAGTGGGGAGAAAAGAGAAGAGAAACGACGTGTCGTACTCATGAGAAGCATAGAATGCCTCATAAGAGGCGTCATTATCAACCCTGGATGCACCGCGTTCGCTGTTATGTTCACACCCTCTTCCTATAACCAACAAAATAATAATAATATATTCAATTATTTTATTTAATATCATTATAATTTCTCAAGATTTCAAATTCTCCTAAAATTAAAAATTTAAAGACATACTTTAAATCGACGAGTAAGCTCTTTGACATGTAAAATGTTCGCGAGTTTTGACTGCCCATACGCTCTTTTATCCGAATACCTACGAATTAACAATTTAGATTATAATTTGAAGCCATAAAAAAAAAAAAAATTAATTTAAAAAAAAAAAAAAAA